TGCCGTGTGGCGGGTTTCATTCACGCGTTGGCAAATGTTGCTCAGCCTCGGTTTGTTTTTGGCGAAAGGCCCACTGGGCTACGCAGCTCTTTTTCGGAAGCGACCTGGCCACGAATGAGACAGCTCCATGAAGTGGCCTGTCATGTGGACATTTGAACCTTGTGTCCACAATAAACGGAAGTCAAAATCGTAATTAATTAATTTCTTTTTGGCGACTTCGTCCCAGCGCGCACATAAACGCCGCGACCCGCCTGGCGCGAATCATTCTGTTGTCGCGTCGTCCAAGCGCAGCGAAGACGAATGCGCAGAAGAAACAAAACTTTTAAACTTTGATTAGCGCATCGTGCAGAGCTCGTCGAGAGGGATAGATCGCCGTATCGTTCGCCTTCAACAGACATAAAATGACGTCGCAACGCAGTTTATGCGAGAGCCGGGGACTTCTGGGACCTTGGGGTCCCGCCATAAGGTTCATTTATTGCAGCCAAATACTCTTAAATACATGTTTTCCTAAAATTTTGGAGCAATAGGATTGGTCTGAATTCCCCAAGGCGATAGGATTTGGCCGTTTCGTTAAAAGTCCTGCTTTTGTGTGTCCAGTGGAGTCATTGTTTAACTTTATTTTTTTTTTATTCCGGGATTTAAAAGAAGCATGTCACGGCGTGCGGTGTCGTCCAAGTGGTGCTGCCGGTTCCTCATACTCCTGAGTGCAGATTGGGAAACAACAGGACACAGTCCAAGCCGTGCTCAAGGCAAACAATTAACGGTCGGTTGCGGTGAGGCACCACCGCCAAAGTGTAACGGTCGGTACGCTGGACACGTCGTCCAGAGGCCCACCAAATCGATTCAATCTCCCGGCGCGGCAGTTGAAACAATCAGGCAAGTATTTTTTAAATCCCCTGCGCCTCCTTTGTCCCCTCATCCAGAGCCTGTCCCTGGGGGTAACGGCGAATTGGGGCGACCGCCCCGGGCCCCGCGCTATGTGGGGGGGGGGGGGGCAGGGGGGCCGCACTTCGACACCCCGGTGTCGGATGCAATACTTGCGGATTAATTTTAAGGCGTCGCAGGGCCCACAGTTGGGTTTGCCCCGAGGCCACGCACTCCCTATGGACGGCCCTGCCCCCCCCCAGCAGTGTAAGTGGGCTCACCACGGTGAGTCTATGATCGGTAAGTTGTGTGTGGTGGGGTAAAGTGTGGGTACTCCACCTCTTGCAGCTTGTCAGCATGGAACAGTAAGGTTGGGCAAATTCCCTTTGGAGGAGCACCAGAGCTACAGTGAGGGGAAAAAAGTATTTGATCCCCTGCTGATTTTGTACGTTTGCCCACTGACAAAGAAATGATCAGTCTATAATTTTAATAGTAGGTTTATTTGAACAGTGAGAGACAGAATAACAACAACAAAATCCAGAAAAACGCATGTCAAAAATGTTATAAATTGATTTGCATTTTAATGAGGGAAATAAGTATTTGACCCCCTCTCAATCAGAAAGATTTCTGGCTCCCAGGTGTCTTTTATACAGGTAACGAGCTGAGATTAGGAGCACACTCTTAAAGGGAGTGCTCCTAATCTCAGCTTGTTACCTGTATAAAAGACACCTGTCCACAGAAGCAATCAATCAATCAGATTCAAAACCCTCCACCATGGCCAAGACCAAAGAGCTCTCCAAGGATGTCAGGGACAAGATTGTAGACCTACACAAGGCTGGAATGGGCTACAAGACCATTGCCAAACAGCTTGGTGAGAAGGTGACAACAGTTGGTGCGATTATTCGTAAATGGAAAAAACACAAAAGAACGGTCAATCTCCCTCGGCCTGGGGCTCCATGCAAGATCTCACTTCGTGGAGTTGCAATGATCATGAGAACGGTGAGGAATCAGCCCAGAACTACACGGGAGGATCTTGTCAATGATCTCAAGGCAGCTGGGACCATAGTCACCAAGAAAACAATTGGTAACACACTACGCCGTGAAGGACTGAAATCCTGCAGCGCCCGCAAGGTCCCCCTGCTCAAGAAAGCACATATACATGCCCGTCTGAAGTTTGCCAATGAACATCTGAATGATTCAGAGGACAACTGGGTGAAAGTGTTGTGGTCAGATGAGACCAAAATGGAGCTCTTTGGCATCAACTCACCTCGCCGTGTTTGGAGGAGGAGGAATGCTGCCTATGACCCCAAGAACACCATCCCCACCGTCAAACATGGAGGTGGAAACATTATGCTTTGGGGGTGTTTTTCTGCTAAGGGGACAGGACAACTTCACCGCATCAAAGGGAAGATGGACGGGGCCATGTACCGTCAAATCTTGGGTGAGAACCTCCTTCCCTCAGCCAGGGCATTGAAAATGGGTCGTGGATGGGTATTCCATCATGACAATGACCCAAAACACACGGCCAAGGCAACAAAGGAGTGGCTCAAGAAGAAGCACATTAAGGTCCTGGAGTGGCCTAGCCAGTCACCAGACCTTAATCCCATAGAAAAGCTGTGGAGGGAGCTGAAGGTTCGAGTTGCCAAACGTCAGCCTCGAAACCTTAATGACTTGGAGAAGATCTGCAAAGAGGAGTGGGACAAAATCCCTCCTGAGATGTGTGCAAACCTGGTGGCCAACTTCAAGAAACGTCTGACCTCTGTGATTGCCAACAAGGGTTTTGCCACCATGTACTAAGTCATGTTTTGCAGAGGGGTCAAATACTTATTTCCCTCATTAAAATGCAAATCAATTTATAACATTTTTGACATGCGTTTTTCTGGATTTTTGTTGTTGTTATTCTGTCTCACTGTTCAAATAAACCTACCATTCAAATTATAGACTGATCATTTCTTTGTCAGTGGGCAAACGTACAAAATCAGCAGGGGATCAAATACTTTTTTCCCTCACTGTATTTCGCGTGGAGAAATTGCTTGCTCACACCTCTGCTGGCCTTTTAACTTCTTACCGTGACATTCTTGGGATGTTGTGGATATGCACCGCCTGTCCGTGCCAAGTGCCGGCGGCTCGATGGGATGGATCTGGCATGGGAGCAACCAAATTTGGATCCTCGGTTGAGCCAACCTCTGTTGTGAGCGATATCATAGAAAATAAATAAAGCTTTAAAACTTGACGTACCGTTCATCAAAAATAAATGCAGTGGTTTTTCTACCGTAACGAGCATTGGGAATTGCTCGTCTCTCCACTGTTTAATAAAATGATTGGGAAATATTTTTGGGGCAATTTTATTTCCCCCCTCTCCCCCAGTATCCCCCCCCCCCCAAATGAACTCTAATTACTCGTTTATGGTTTTGACAATTAGACCTAATTGGCTTTTATGTGACCGACGAAATCCGGAGAATCGGAAACTGTGATGAGAGCAGGCGACGCTCGCTGGGTCGGCACCGCTCAGATCCGGGGTGCACGTCCCGGTTTTGGGCCGCCCGTGATGAAGTTGGGTTTTCCGCTGGAACCAGTTGATGGCCTCTGGCCTGATTACCAGTGAATGCACAGAAACATTCCGTCACGTGAAATTTGGATTTCATTTAATTCGGTGAACAGTTCTCCGCGACAGGGTGTGTAGGAGAGGGCAGCGTTCCCGCGAGGTGGAATAAATTTGAACTCAGGCGGCCGGGTTCATGGCGCCGTGCGCTAATCGCTGTGACACAGCCGCGCCCCGTTACCAGATACGCTGGTGTAGAAGGCTCGGTGATAACTCTTAGGACGCGATACCGTGCTTGCTGTTGTGACGGTGACGGGAGGTGGCTGTTGCGTCACCGTGCGCCCAGTCGCATGCGAGGTTTTGTTTTTGTACGTGACGTGCGGCGCTAACGCAGAGGGCTCGGTGCTCTGCGGTGGCACGCGAGTGGGCAGCTGACGCCCCTCTCCCTGAATTACCTGGCTCTGGCGGTGAGGGCCTTCCGCCGTCCAGACCGGTTTGAGTGCCATCTGCGTTGCGTCCGTTTGCGCTTTAGCTTTGCGAGTGATGTGCACGGCTCTCATCTCGGCCGCTTGCGCGCACGTCGAACGCTTAACGTCGATCCAAGTCTTGCCGCTTACGACCGCAAGAGACCAGCGTGCTATGTGCGAAGGTCACGTGAAGGTCACGTGGAGCGGCGTTGTGGAGAAGCTATTGACTGCGTTGTCCGAGTAGGCAGCTGCTTCACACAGCGTGCTTCATGCAGGTGACCGAGTGGCTCAGAGGTCGAGTGCGCTGAGATGGCACCACTGAGAGCCCGGGTTCCCAAGTGGAGTTTGATGGTCTCAGCCTGGTCGCCGATAAATGCACAAAAGAACACTGCGTTGAATCTGATTCTGCACCTAAGTTGGCTAAATTCCAGGCCTGAGTATGAAATATTAATTTGACTGTCTCGTGACGAATCTCACTCTCATATATGCAGAGGGGGGTGGGAAGTGCTCCCCGCTGCTGTGTGGACCAGAGGTCACTTGAAGGGATCTCGGCGGTAGCTCTGTGATAGCCGCTTCCTTTGGCCGTCCTCTCGCACAGAGGGTTGCACCGCTGTGCGAGATCATCCGAAGGGATCCCTCGTCACGTGACACGACGACCGTTGCACAATTGGAATTAAATCTGAGAAGTAATATATTTATTTATAGTACAGGGAACGTGCCTCAGCTTCCTCGCCTCTCGCTCATTTATCTGAACCGAAAACAATGTATGCCCATCTTTTTGCACAACGCCTCGTGCTTAACGACGCCGCTAATCAACAGCAGCAGCGACACCGCCGCCTTTTTCTTTTAAAGCCGTGCCCAGCAGATTTCCCAACTGCGAACTGCGTCCCAATTTTTTTTGTGGGTGGGTGAGGGGTGGGTGAGGAGTGGGTGAGGGGTGGCTGGGGGGTGGCTGGGGGATGGAGTGGTTGAGGGGGGAGATTGAGAATTCTGAAAACAGGGCCACTTTGCTGTTGAAAGCCAAGCTCGGACGTGTGCGTGCGCGTGTGGCCGGGGGTCTGGGTGGGGGGTGTGGCGTCGGGGGCGGACTCCGTGAGAGGGGCAGCGCCTGCCCCTCGGGCAGGGCAGGGCAGTGCCGGCTGGGTGGCGGTGGGGCAGGAATTCATCCCCGGCGCTGGGGCTTGGATTGGCTAGGGCGAGGGTGTGGCTTCCAGCGATTGCACAAGCCCTGCTTGTTTCTACCATTCATTCGCGCTCGGGAGTTGCATACAAATCTCGCAGAAAAGCCCAGGGCTTGATCGCTTGTGGCCGGCTCCGCGTGCAGACACCCGGCTCACCGCTGCCGCCGAAGCTACGAGCGAGGCAACGTCCGGCGTACACGGAGACCACACGAGCAGGCAAGTGACTCGGAGGCGACACGTGGAACACGACGCGTGGCTCGCCTCGCCGTCCAGGTGCCGGAGGAAGTTGCTTCGCGCCCCGGAGCGGTGACGGAGCGTCGTTGCGAGCACGTGGCCTTGTTGGTAATCGTCGGCTTGGCTCGAGGGTCCGTAAAGTCCGCCCCCCCGTGTCGCTCTTTCCCGGGTCGTCGTTGCCAGCGCTTGAGTTCACGCCAAGGCGTTGGTTTGGGAGTTAAGGCGGTTTTTTTTTTAGGTTGGGTTGCTCATGGAATGCGGGCTGAGTGGAACCAATTGAAGCTCTTTCGCATCTTGCGCCCAGCGGTGCGCAGTTCATAATACAGGTTTTTTTTGGGTTATATCGCGTATATATTTTGTACGCGATTTAACACAAAACCAAAGAAACCTGTATTATGGATGATGTTGTCCGCGGAAGCCTATGTGTTAAACAGTGCGCAGTTGATGCACGTGTAAAAGGCATGCGTGTGGGATACAATGTGGATTTACACAGCGTCTCAACGTTACAGCCTCCCAGGTATACCGTGCTGACACAGTGCGTGTCGAGTCTTTTTTGCTTTTTATAGAGGCGTTCGTAGGTCACTGCAGGTCCTATGGGTCTCTGGATGTGTGCGAATCTTGGGTGTCTACAATATAATTAATCAAAGACGCTGTACAGAAGCGGTGGGCACAGCGTATGAGTTTAATAGATGCAGTCAGCCAATAGGTGAGAAGAGATTCGTCTTAACTTGCTTAATGTGCGAGTGATTGCTACGCAAAAGTTCAGCACAGGATATGTATTGAACTAAGTACAATTTACGTTTCTAAAGACTTTTTCAAAATGACGATTGTTTTAATTGATTCGGTGCAGGTGGAGTGAGCTGAGGAATGTGGGAAGTGTTGCCTCTGGGTTTGAGGAATCGCAGAATCCCGACATACCACAGGGTCTCTGGTCCACATGCTTCTCCTGTTGACCCGAGGTCAGCTTCTCGGCCCCCCCAGAAATCCCAACTGTCCCCTAGAACAAATGTATGCGACACACGGATACAGGGCAATGCAAACAGCTTGCAGCTTCTATTTCACGATTGTACAAATACTGTGATATTAGTTTTCGTTGTTGATTGCGTCGTAAACAAGAACCGCATTTCTACATTGTCCGCAAGTATATTTACAGCCCTTTGCAAATCCACTGTTGGACGAAGGCCTTCCCCCACGCGTTGCTCGTCATCTAGGTAGTTTGACTATACTTCACCGCACTGGTCAGTGATGTTAGCCGTGCCCCGGAATTGAACTCAGGTCACCGGGTTCATAGTGAAAGACCCACGATCAGCTCCGTTGCAACACGAGTAAAGAATAACAATGGCGTAATCACCAAGTTAGCGTAGATACAACGGACTGTTCTGTTATGATAAGCATGCCATCGTCACTGTGTTCTAACTCCACGCATATATAAAGACCCCGTTTAGTCCACCAGCCCTGTGCCGTGAAGAAGGCCCATTGCCTGAAACATCGCATATAATATATTTTAACTTTTAAGACCATGGTGTTATTGACAAACGCTTGGAGTTATTATTATCAGTCTATTATTGCCATTCCAGATCAATGTTATCCAACAGCGCTTGTTTAAGCAAGCAAATAAACCGTGGACTGATTTTGACCTCTTGGACCTCATCAGCAGAGCGAGGCTCGTGAAACAATTGCTGCCAGGATCACCAGACGCGATTGGCGAGAGTTGCGGGCTGGCGCATCTAACCTCATCGCCGCTGTGCAGCGCGGGATAGACACCCCCACCTCCTCTCGCGATATTCCCGCTGTCGGCGAGCGTGACGATGTCGCGTTCGCCGATGGCTATCCAATGTCGCGTCGTGACACACGTCGCGAGTTGCACGTGCAATGGCCCAATTTTCGATTTGAATACTTTACCTTGTACTCAATGATATCACGTGACCCCCCCCCCCCCCCCCCGGTGCCTCTGGAGGCCACTGTCGTTCATTGGCTGTGTACGGTGCGTTGAACTTCTTCAGCACCGTACGTAGCCAACATTTAAAACGCGCACCATGTACACTTAACAAAGGGACATTCAGGGACGCGGAAGGTAACTTCGAGAAGAGAAACGTCTTCCGATTCCGACAGTAGGACACCGCCGACAGAGCCGTGCGGCGGCAGCGGAGGGGACGGCCGGCGCCGCGAGGGAGCGACGACGACGACGACCTCGTCAAGATGGAGACACTCGAGGGGGGGGTGGTTGAGGGGGGCTTGACGAGGAGGAGGCCGTTGTGAAACGGAACGTAGGATGAGACGGCGGAAGCTAAAGAGGAACAAGGGCATTGATCCTTGCAGCGAATCGTGGTGTGCGGGGGTTGGGGGGGTGGAGAATCGATACGGGCCTGGCGCTGCCCTGTCGTTGGACTAGATGGGATTTTATTTTCCTTACTGACCGTTAAACTGGAAAATGTTTTTTTTATTTTCCTGTCTATTTGTTTGTCCGGAATGATAACCTGGAAGCTGCTTGTGGGGTCGTTTGTCCAGATCGGGTAATTCATTAACCTACCGGGTTATCCTATCGGAGAAAGTCCGTAACCTCGCCCTGTGTATTTATTAATAACCCCTTGATGAATGGAAAAGCTGGCAAAGCGGGGCACGTGCGCCGTTTGCGGGGCACGGCTGCCCAGCCCGGCTGCCTCCTGGTGCCATCGCACCTTACCTGGCTTCACGTCGCAATTGCGTCACTTGTAAGCAATCACAATCCAATTGGCACTTCGGCGAAGAATGCCGCTGTAGATATCATTGGCGGTGACCGCAGGGCTGCGTCGGACGCTGCGGGAGAATGTCCTCAGATTGTTGAGGTGAAAGTCTCTGGGAATGAGATGGGGCCCCCACCGCACCCTGTCCAATTTAACCAGAACCAGAATCTTTATTTAGACTGCGGGAGGAATCCAACGAGCTACGGAGCTTGTTTCCGCACGTGTCCAGTAAACCTCTCTTCGTAGCCGAGCACCTGGTCCCATCCGACCCTCGGACCCCGGTGCGGGTTTCCCCTGTGCAATTGCACCGCCTGCACGCTCGATAACCACCGCAGTGATGGGCTTGCGACGTCGACGGGGGGGGGGAGGGCGGGCAGGGACGGGGGCCGGGCGTCGGGACGGCACGATGGGTTCACGACCTCGGGCCGGGATGAGGCGTGAGAGAGACGCGTGCCATCGGGCCATGCCCAGGGGCCGTCTCCGCATAGGTGGCGTGCCCACCCTCCAATGGGTGACGTGCCCACCCTCCAATGGGTGACGTGCCCACCCTCCAATGGGCCGTGGGCAGGTCCCACCAGCGGTGGCTCCACCGACCTCCGTTCCGCCTGCCGCGTCCTCTCTTGACACCTGCCCTTGTGGCTGAGCGTTGCTCCCTCGCTGTGCACCCCCCCCCCCAACTCCATTGCCCCGGCGTGCCACCGCGTCGCCGAGACGTACCGGCGTCCCGGTTGGACTCCCCCACCTGGCTCCGCATCTTTAACATCGGAGCCGAGTCGCCGCTGTTTATCTCGGCGTCTAGAGGCAGCCACTTGTCCAGGGGGAGTCTGGCAGCCTGGGGGGGGGGGGGCGGGGGGTAGGGGGTGAGCCGTGCTCGATAATGCTCACGAGCTCTTGCGGTTTGACATCAGCGTTTTGAACGGGGCTAGAAAACGGACCGGGTCGTCGGTATATGGCGTGATATAAATAGCAGCATGACTGTCGGCGTTCTGGCTGGCGGCCCCTCGTGACGCTGTCCAGGTGCTGAAGAGGAGCCGAGGGCCCCAGCGTGGCTCCCCTTTGCGTTATTCCGCTGAGCTCTTTGTCGCGTTCTGGCTGACCTGACAGAGGACAGACCCTGGCAAGGCTTTACCAAGTCAACCTTCATTCAGTGGAAGGTCGTTTGTGTTCTCTGGTGCCCCCGTAGTCTGGAACTCCCTTCCCCTAGCCGCCCGTGCTGTAGACTGCCTTAAGCCCAGGCTCAAGCCCTTCTGCTTCTCCTCTGCCTATAAATCCACATTGTGTTGTATGCTTGTCTATGGGTCTCTATATTGGTCTGTGATCTCTATGTCTATGGTCTCTAAGTAAGTCATTGGCTCTCTATGTACGTCTCTGGGTCTCCGTGTAAAACTATGGGTCTCTATGTAGGTCTCTCGGTCTCTGTGTAAAGCTATCAGTCTAACGAGTAAGGCTATGGGTCTCGAAGTAAGTCTCTGGGTCCCTGTGAAAGGCTATCATGCTCTGTGTAAGACTATGTGTCTCTATGTAAGTCTCTGGGTCCCTGCGAAAGGCTATGGGTCTCTATGTAAGTCTCTGGGTCCCTGTGAAAGCCTATCATGCTCTGTGTAAGACTATGTGTCTCTATGTAAGTATCTGGGTCTCTGCGTAAGGCTATGGGTCTCTATGTAAGTCTCTGGGTCTCTGTGCAAGTCTCTCCTGTCCTGGCCTCTATCAAGAAATTATAAAATAAAAAACGCAAGGTTTAAAAGTCACAATAATTTTCCCAACACGCGGGGCAATCCTTATATAAGCGTCACTGCTATCGGTAGCAAGGCTTGTTTTTCAAAAATAAAGAAGCATGTAGTTACTTGTCACGTTTCTCTGTGTAGTTTTGAGTTTGTGCCGCGATTATGCAAGTTGTTTGTCGCTTGGGGCATATGCACACCCATTACATTCTGACAATCCCCAAAGTGCTGAGCACGGAGCGCCGAGCTCGGAGCGCCGAGCTCGGAGCGCGAGTCTTGCACCCCTGGGGTGGGGCACGCAGTGACCCCGCAGCGATCGCGCGTGGGCTCTCCGCCCGTCACACGGCCCCCCCAGCGAGTTCATTAAAGCACGCTCGCGTTGACCGCTGCGATGCCGCGTGTTCCTGAGCGAGAACGCCGTGCGGCTCGACACTCGAGTACAGAAAGAAAAATAAAACCCGTCTGTGGCGTTGCGATTTTACGCGTCATCGCAGTGCCCCGGGGACGTGTTGACCAAGTTTTTTAATTGGCGCTCGTGCGTCAAGAGGGCTTTCATCGGCGGTGGCCGGGCGGCTCGGCGGCCCGAGTGCCGAGCCGGCACGCTCCGAACCTGGGTTTAAATCCAGGTTGCCGGCCGCCTGTGATCTTTTTTTTTTCTCACCAGGTTCTATAGTCTCGTGAGTCGATGATCTCAGCCTGGTCTCCAATCACTGCACGTTCACACACACAAAATCACACTCACTTTGATTGTGCACTTAATTTGGATAAATTCCAGCAATGAGAATAAAAAATATATATATATTACGTGTGACCGTCATGTGATGAACATTCCTCTCTCCGTGGCAGAGCGGATGGGAAAGTTGTGCCCTCTGCTTGTGTCGACCAGAGATCGATCGCTTGAGGAGATTTCACAGGTAGCTCTACGGCGCCCTCTTCCACGGTCCGTTCCCTAACAGGGCAGAGGGTTGCAGTGTTCTAGCGAGGGGTCGGAATGCACGCTCAGTCTCGTAACACGATTCAAATTACAGGCAGGATTCACTTGTCGAAAAATATCGTACTTTTTTATATCTAATTAAAAAAAGATCGTACTTTTATATATACGGAGATTAAAAAGGTCGTTCCGTTAAACTTAGGCGAGAGTGAAAACGGGTCCCTTTTGCCTTTTATAATATAGACGATGGGAGCTGTGCGTGTGATCCAACAATGGTCAATACTTAATCTCCGCGACTGTGGTGCCAGAAGGATCGAAGCTTTGACCCAAGTTGAGCCAGCCACCGTGGCATTGATGTCAAAGAAAATAAAACAACATCCATCCATGGATTCGACAAAACATCCACTCAGAGATAAAAAGAAAACCTCTGTGCACTCCTGCGCAAGCGTATGGCAGCGCCTGTCTCCACCCACCCCCTCCCCTCTCATCTCACTCTCAAACCTCTCCCCTCTCATCTCACTCTACTCCCCTCCGTGCACTCTCCTGCCTCTACCCTCTCAACTCACTCTACTCCCCTCCATGAGTTATCTTGTCTCTCCCCCTCTCATCTCACTACATTCACCTCGAGTCAACTTTTGCACAGTGGGAGGTCGCTCAAACTCTTCTGCTGCCCTCATAGTCAGGAGCTCCCTTCCCCAAACCATCCATGCCGTCGATACCCTAACCCTGTTTTCAGTTTCAGGCTGTTTGTATGGTCTGTCTATGGCCCTGTCTCTTTCTCTGCTCAAAGTAAACTTGCCCACTGTTTATGTGCAGCGGGTTGAGACACCGTCACATGCGGTTGCCGTATGAATCCACGTTGTACTGTAATTGTACTGATCGAGATCAAGAAGCCATGTTGACCGAATCCATCGATGCCCCCTCCCAACAGATCCCCCAGCAGCGGCTGCGCAGTTGACACGCGACCTGCAAGGTCCGCTTGAACAGCCTCCAACCATCACATGCTCCTACTTAGGTCTTCTCTTCCCCTTGGTGGCCAGACTCGTGGAGACCACTCCAATGCCCGTTATCGCCAATCGGCCCTCCCCCTCCCCCATCCTGCGCCCACGCTGGGCGAGTGGTTCGTGCCACAGCCAAAATCTCCAACAACTCCACTGCAGCCACGTTCCCTTCTGGCCTCCCTCCATCGAGTACCCCCCGTCTTGCCACGTAATCCCTCGCGTCCGTCCCGGACCCCTGGCGCCCGGGTATCCGGACACTGTTCCAAAACCCCGCGTCCTGATCCCAAGCACGTCGCGATCCCAACCGCGTCCTGATCCCAATCGCGTCCTCTCGACCGTGTCGCGATCCCGACCGTGTCCTGATCCCAAGCGCGTCCTGATCCCAACCGTGCCGTGATTCCCAACCGTGCCGTGATCCCAACCGTGCCGTGATCCCAACCGTGCCGTGATCCCAACCGTGCCGTGTCCCGCAGGGAGCCATGCTTCAATTGGGAGTGGTGAGCGGCGGCCTGCGTGGCCAGTGCCTGCGGAGGCTCACAGCATGCCGGGTGCCGGGCCAGACGCGGCAGTACAGCAGCGAGCCGCTCGACAGCGTCCACAAGCCCATCAAGAAAGTGCTCGTCGCCAACCGAGGTGAGGGACGGCGCTCCATCGCTGATTTGTTATCAAAAAAATGTTAACGTTTAAACGTGGCCGCCAAAACGTCACGTGGCCAGTAACAAGCGGCACTAGCAAAGTTGCAATGGATACGGAGTGTAATGCATTTTCTTGAGTTGAGCAAGGTTATTATTGTAAGAGCTTGAGGTAGAAGAGACGCTAATGGGAGGGAAATCCAAAGTGGTTTATTGTGAGGGAAGAAGCAGAAAGAGAAGTGAGGTGACCTGCAGTGTGGTGAGTGGGTGGGTGGGTGGGTTAGCAGGTGGGTTAGTCGGTGAGTGTATTGTTGTGACCTGCAGTGTGGTGAGTGGGTGAGTGGGTGAGTGAGTTAGTAGGTGGGTTAGTCAGTGAGTGTATTGTTGTGACCTGCAGTGTGATGGGTAGGTGAGTGGGTGAGTGAGTTAGTAGGTGGGTTAGTAGGTGAGTGTATTGTTGTGACCTGCAGTGTGGTGAGTGGGTGAGTGGGTGAGTGAGTTAGTAGGTGGGTTAGTCGGTGAGTGTATTGTTGTGACCTGCAGTGTGGTGAGTGGGTGAGTGGGTGAGTGAGTTATTAGGTGGGTTAGTCGGTGAGTGTATTGTTGTGACCTGCAGTGTGGTGAGTGGGTGGGTGGGTGAGTTAGTAGGTGCCTTAGTCAGTGAGTGTATTGTTGTGACCTGCAGTGTGGTGAGTAGGTGAGTGGGTGAGTGAGTTAGTAGGTGCGTTAGTCGGTGAGTGTATTGTTGTGACCTGCAGTGTGATGGGTAGGTGAGTGGGTGAGTGAGTTAGTAGGTGCGTTAGTCGGTGAGTGTATTGTTGTGACCTGGAGTGTGGTGAGTGGGTGGGTGGGTGAGTTAGTAGGTGCCTTAGTGAGTGTATTGTTGTGACCTGCAGTGTGGTGAGTGGGTGGGTGGGTGAGTTAGTAGGTGCCTTAGTCGGTGAGTGTATTGTTGTGACCTGCAGTGCAGTGAGTAGGTGAGTGGGTGGGTGAGTTAGTAGGTGCCTTAGTCGGTGAGTGTATTGTTGCGACCTGCAGTGCGGTGGATGAGACGAAACGATCTACATGGGTTGAGGAGTCTTTGAGTGAAGTTCACAGGAACAGTAACTATGGTAGGTAGTAGCAATAGAAGAGTGACAAGGGGGTGAGGCTGACCGCCCAGGGGTGAGCGAGGAGGTGAGTGCCTTATCGTCAATCACCCTGTGCTTCACTTAGAATTGTACCACGTACAGCGAGGTAGGAAACCGTACGTGCGACGCCATGGCGCTGCCCGTACGTCGCCACTATTTTAGCTGCCGTCCACTTTCATTCCTTGCATTGATGAAAACCCCCAGAGATGGAACATCTCGATCGCAATGGTGTCCATGGGGGGGGGGGGGGGGGTGACGTCACACGCACACTTGCCAAACACGCATTGACACGAGCGTGTGAAGATCTGTAACTAACTCGGTAGATTTTCATACAATGGCCAGAACACGACAATAAACAACAAAGGTAAATAATTAAATGGTGCACACCATCGGCTCATATAGAATGTACTCTCTAGCTGCAGCAGTCGCGCATGTAGTCATAATCGAGTTTAAATTAGTCGAGGCTGCCGATGCATATGAGCGTGTCTGAGAAGTCATCGCACGGTCAAGCTAAATAAAGCACACACGGTGACTGGTCTTGGCCAAACATCCCGATGTTGAAAAAAAACCCCTGAAAATTACTCGTTTGGGATTACACACGGCAGCAGCAGCAGCAGCGGCGGCAGCAGCAGTAGCGTTGCCCCCCGTACTGCGAAAACTTGGCAAGACCCTGCTTGAGACTCGGTGAGGCTTTCCTGGGTCGACAAGCTTATCGACAATAAAATAATAAAGTCGCTCATAAACTAAACAATTTTGTATTTTACCAGGTAAGGCCCACTGAGCTGTATAGCTCTTTTTCGGAAGCGACCTGATGATAACAAATTATTGCTCAACAAATTGGCTTATCATCATCACGTGGAAATGTATAGCAGCCAAGTACCCTGAACGCGTGGTGACGTTGATTCTAAATGTGGAGGGGAAAACCGGAGGACCCGGAGAAAATGCCGCTGCGGCCACGGGGAGAGAGAGACACGCTCATCCCCACATTTGGCGTTACAAGTCGAGACTCGGACGTGGAAGCGGAGGGAGGGGGCCGCTGGTGGAGGTTAACGGGCGACGATCGTCCCCGCTGGCTTTGTGTTTTGTTTGCATCGTGGCGCTAGGGGAGATCGCGACGCGAGTGTTCCGCGCGTGCACGGAGCTCGGCATCCGCACGGTGGCGGTGTACTCGGAGCAGGACAACGGGCAGGTCCACCGGCAGAAAGCGGACGAGGCCTACCTCATCGGCAAGGGCCTGGCGCCCGTCGCCGCCTACCTGCACATCCCCGACATCATCCGCGTGGCGCAGGTCAGAGGTCGTGGTCGCCGGCGCGAGCTGAAGCGAATGTCTGTTACGAGAAATCTTATTTTCTTTTCTGTTGATTTATGTGGGTTTGGTCTTTTTGCTCCGATTTCCGTTAGTTTCCGTCGGTGTCAAAGTGAGTTCCTGCTCTCGTGAGTTGCGAGGTGGTGCCAATCTCCTCCCCCTTTACAGCCCTGAGCGCCCCACTAGGCTGCTGGGTCAGCACCTAGCAGTGGAGCCCGAGGTCACGAACCCTCTCTGCGTTGACCTTCAGGTGGCCCTGTATACATGGCGGATTTTGTCTCGGTGTTCTGGATTCCTCCCTCATGTAGCCAAATCTCCCGCACCTCCGATCAGCACGGTTGGCTACGTACGGCGTGAAAGAAGTTCAACATACGTGCATACGTTAATGGACTCAGCCAAACCGCCTAATGTATGTAGGACCCTCATGAAAACGAGTCTTGAGGCTTCGTGAGACGCTCCTGTATAAAGAAAATTTCTGGTATTTGTTTACGTGGGGTGGGAGTGGGGAACAGGACCCTCTTGTTGACTCTGGGACTTTCTGTGCCAGAGTGTCCGCCTTTGTGCCACATTTGTTTTATGAATTACGTTTGAGAGACCCTAGAGCTGCTGTTTACAGGCCCTGTTTGTTTTATGATATCGTGATGCGATTGTGGTAAACATCTCTGTGTATGAAGAGCAACGGAGAGGGCTCCCTCCGCTTAGCTCGCTTGGTCTGGAGCAGATTAAATCATAAGTGGAGCTAGCTTGGGTAACGCAATTGAAAGGCGATATCGGTCGAATGAAAGGCACGGCCTCGGTAAACAGCCGAGCCGCACAATGACAAAGACCCCCGGTATAGCCTGTAACAGACTGTTGGGGCAAGTGCTGTTAGCGAGCACCTACGAAGGCCGGCACGGCACACGAGGGGGTGGGTGGCCAGCACCACGCCCGCACGCCTGTTGTCCTTCGTGGCGATTTTTAAACCCTGCACCAGGTACTCATTTGAGACCCTGTCGACCTAGGGGGGAGGCCCAGGACCAGTTTAAATATTCTCCACTGTTATTGGTCGTGCGCGGGAATCGAACTCTGGTCACCGGGTTTGTAGCGCACTATGCTAACCGTTGCACCGCCGCTCTCCACACACACACACACGTGTGTGCGCGGTAACGGTGGTCATGGGTAATCTCGGCTAAGGCCCCTTGAGAAAGCGATTTGATATTTTCACACCCTGCTGTTTTAGTAGCTCGTTATCATAGCTAGTCACGGATGTTGTTTATTTATTCATTACAATTACGCTTGCTTGCCCAGGGAAATCCTCACCGAGTCTTTAATGACTCTTTCAGGAATGATCCTGCAAAGTTGTTGCAGCAGAGGGCATTGTGGGTGCTGTGTGTAACCTCAATTTAGTAATTTGAAGGGAAATTTTCTTGCTAATTTTTGGCATGTTGCATTGTTTGTTTTTCGCTTTGTGTGTTCCCGATATTCATATGAATCCCAAATCTCCGAAACGCATCCCTGGTTAGGTCCACGGCAGGCTCCGACCGCGCGTAGCTCCGCAGGGTCTTGTAAAGCAAAAACAGACGTCCATTAATTTCACCCATCATGCTGTTGTTTTGATCTTCTTGTCGCCTGGTCCCATGTACACGGGGTCGGTGGCGCTGCTCCTCACCCTCATTCTCCACTTTGCCCCCTCGACCTGCTGCCCGAGACCAACGCTGGCCATACCCTCCTTGATCCTGTCTCTCCTGCTCACCGCTGCTCTGCCTCTGGGTCATGTGCCTCCCTACGCCCGCCCGCAGAATCCACCGTCCCACATGTTCGCCATCCGTCCTCGGGATGCGTCTCCCCCCCCCACCGCCTCAATCTCGCAGGCATCTGCTCGTCACTTCTCCCCACTTGGCACCAGTCGCTCTTTGTTATTGTGATCTCTGCCGACAATTACGTGAAATTATGTTTTTGTGTCCCTGATTACACGTCTCCAAAGTCGCTGCTTATGACACCGATACCATCGGCTCCTATACCGATATCGCTCGTTATGGCACCGACATAGTTCGCTGGGGCATGGCTATGACGCTGGTGGTTTTGGGGTGATGCAAATGGTACTCGGACGAACTGACCTTGCCATGCATGCTGGGATAGTGATGGCGCATTCAGTTTCGTGACTTGTTCCATAACTGAGCCTTATCTTCAAAAGCTATAGCTCATCCCCTTCAAAGTGACACCTCCCATTCGGTATTGTTTTATTGAGATGATTATGAAATGTTGGTTGTGAGGTAGCCCAGTTTATGGAACTGCCCTGGTGATGGCGGTGGTTGTTGTTGTCGTGACATTGGTGCATCCAGCCAACTGTGGTAGGGCCCTGCCAGTGGCATGAGGCTGCACCGGCAATGATTGATGCCAACCTGTAAATCATTCTCCATCTCACAGAGACATTTCTGCAGCCTCTGTGGGTTTTCCACTTTCATGAGACAACCCTCTGTGATACCACAAATAACAATACAAATAATGTCTTCATTCATTTATCGAGGGCCTCAAAGTATTTATTCACGATCCTGTAAATGAGACGTCTGACCTGTTCACTTTTGTATTCATTTATTCAAACCCCATGTGTGAATTCTACTTTTGTTCCACATTTGTCAACTTTTTTCGAGTTTAACTATCAATTTTAACACACCCCACTGTAAAGTGCTGGCTCCCATATCCAGTCAATCTGGCTGCCCTCTCTACTGAAGAAGGGGCATTGCCTGAAACGCCGCATTAACTTTTCACGCATATATCTCTCTTATGGGATGGTGTTAATGGTGAAGGTGGTTATATTTTTGCTTGTTTTGCATATTTAGATTTTATTCAAAAATATCTTTCTATACACTCATGCAGTTTAAAAAAAAAAACTTTATTCAAGAGTCCTGAGATGTGCTCGCGTTCAGACGCTAAAAATCTGCGTTTGGAGTAAACCCGAGCGAGCACCCGGACCAAAAAAAAACTACAAGTACAAAGGGATAACATTCAAAGGACAACAAAGATAGGTTCATGAACCCGCTTGCGCAACTGCTGCCTCCAGCACTTCTCGGGCATTTCCCAAACCTGCGTCACCCCCACTGACCCTCGAGTCCGCAGCGCTGGAGCAGAGGCGTGGTCCACGACCCCCCCCCCCCCCAACCCACCCCGGCTGCTAAAGTCAACGGTCATAGCGAGGAGAATGCTGTCGAGATTTTTTTTTTCCCCCCCACGGAACTCTGCGAGTTCTGCTCAAAGCGATTTAGGACTCGAGTCACGGAGGTAATTTAACGAGCGCGCAATGGAGCACGGCTGAAATTCGAATCAAAGTCGACAAACACTCGTTCCCCGTGAGTTGTTTGCGACGAGTAGAGGTCGGTGCGCATGTCTCAAAAAACGAGATAAATCCCTAACGCATTGCAGGCGAGTCGTAGGAGCCCTCAGCGATCGTATTGCGATGACCCTCTGCTCCCCGACGTGTTACCCGTTGACTTGCTGGCCGCGCGGTGGGGGCATGCCCGACGTTACTGTGGTTGCCGTGATGGGGCGATACTACGGTGCATCGTTAGATATAAGATCCGCGATAAATTAATAACATGATCGTCCGCTTTGCAAAATATCGTAAGTCTTACTTAAAAAAAAAAATCTAATTTTCTGACTTATATTTGTGGAACGACGGAAAAATAAATAGCTCACCATTAGACTCTTGTGAAAGTTAATTAAATAATTGATGTCGCATGTAACCGACGTCGCGCGCATGCATTGTAACAAATGATGAGGAACGTATGGCAGTCTCATGTTGAGTGAACTGCATTAAAAGAACTTCTAAAGTGATCTTTATTCTCACGAGAAGTATGGCAGAGCGCAAAAAACGACACCACCGAATATATAATCGCAAGTACAAGGTTATTGGAACGTGATTTCGCGAAAATTGTCTGCGAAATCAATTTTTCCCAAAGCAGTCTCGCGATACGCCGATTATATCGATATCGCCGCTCACGCCGGCGCGCCGCTCCGCCGGCCGTCGCCGTGTCTGCAGGAAAACGCCGTGGACGCGATCCACCCCGGCTATGGGTTCCTGTCGGAGCGATCCGACTTCGCGCAAGCTTGCCTCGACGCCGACATCCGCTTCATTGGGCCCAGCCCCGAGGTGGTGCGGCAGATGGGCGACAAGGTGGAGGCCCGCGCCATCGCCATCAGCGCAGGTGAGCGAGCGAGCGGGCGCTCTTGCACCCCCCCACCCCCCCCCCCCCCCCCCCCCACCGTGGGATGACAACAAAGATCCCCCGTGTGGCCTTCACGGACTGTTGGGGTAAGTGCTGTTGCAAGTAGCAGCAGTGAAGGACGGCACGGCACATGAGGGGGTGGGTGGCCAGCATCGCGCCCCGGCCGCCTTTGTCTCCCCATGTTTACGCACCGCACCAGGTACTCGTTTGAGGCCGAGTCCGACGTAGGGGAGGATCAGGACCGGTTCAGATATGCGCCACTGGTTTGGCCGTGAGCGGGAATCGAGCCGGCTTCGTAGCGCAGCGCGCTCACCGCTGCTCCCCACAAGGTGGCAGCCTTTCACTCACGGACCCGCGATTCGCCCAGCCGCTCGCTCACGAACTTCCCTGCCCACCCGCTCATCCATCCATCCACCTACCCACGTACCTACCCAGATATCACTGCCCATTGATATTAACAGAGCCGGGTTCATAGCACAGCTGCCAGCACGCTGCGCCGTGAACCCGGCGACCAGAGCCAGCGACGTGCGGTAAGCGCGGACTTTATACATCTCACCCACTTGGCCGCACAATTTGTACTCTCCGGCACGCGGACCCCCGCTACCCCGACACCGTGCCCTTTTTCCCGCTCGCCCCGTAACTCCCCGTGTGCGACCACGTGGTGGCGCAGGCGTGCCCGTGGTGCCGGGAACGGAGGAGCCCGTCGTCTCGTTGGTGGAGGCGCGCCACTTCTGCGAGACCTACGGCTTCCCCATCATCTTCAAGGCGGCGTTCGGGGGCGGCGGACGTGGCATGCGCGTCGTCCGCAGCTACGAGGCAAGTTCCGCTCGCCCGAAAACCGTCCTCAATGACAATGCAGTGTGGATTCATCAGCAGCAGCCACAATCGGTCCATTGCTGGACGAAGTCCACCCCAAGTCGCCACCATCTCCCATGGTCCTGCAATGCAGGAATCCACCCAGCACCCACGCACGAGTCAACGCCATCGCACGGTGGATGATATTATCGACTGTGATGCTCCCTCCCTCCCCTTCCCCCCTCCCTCCCTTCCCTCCCACACTGACCAACGCAGGAGTTAGAGGAGTCGTTCCAGAGGGCGTATTCGGAGGCGCTGGCTGCGTTTGGCAATGGCTCGCTGTTCATTGAGAAGTACATCGAGAAGCCACGGCACATCGAGGTGCAGATCCTGGGTAAGGTGCCGCCGAGCGACGCTGCGGCCCACGGTGGAGATTTTAGAGGGGGGGGGGGGGGGGAACGAATCCATTTTGCGGGGCAGCTGGGCTGCTGCAGAGGGGCACCATGAAGGAGGAGGGGGGCAAAAGGCCATGTTTTTGCCACAGACCATTTTTGAGATTTTTCCGAAATGTTAAATTGGACGTGACTAACACATACTATATAAGTATATTGCACTCTCAGTGGCTGGGCGCACCACTGGTTCACTGTCTATGTACTAGAGTAATTAGGTGATGACGATGATCGTACGTTTTCCGGCTTCCGCCTCCCTGCCGCGGGACAGGCGACAAGTACGGCAACGTGGTGCATCTGTACGAGCGCGACTGCTCCATCCAGCGTCGCCACCAGAAGGTGGTGGAGATCGCGCCGGGCGCCAACCTCGACCCGTCCATGCGCGAGCATCTCACCAACGACGCCGTCAAGCTGGCTAAGCAGGTGGGCAGGCGGGCAAGCGATGCACAAGCCGCCCCCTTTGGCGACGCTGCAGTGTGCGTGTGTTTACTTGCGTGTGTGCAGGTGTAACGGAGGGCAAAGGAGCGACGCTCGCAACAACGAGCGGCGCACCAGGCGGTAAAAACACAGCGAGTTGGCACAGTAGGGGGGCACAGGTGGTGCATCTGTAAGTCATCTCAGTCAGTCGACCCATGGCACCTGGGTCTGTCCGGTGACCTCCTCCCAGCGGGTGTTTCGACACTCCACGTGGCCTTAAAGTGCACGTAGCCTGGCGCAAGCGCTGTGGTGACGCCACCGCCACTTCGTGGTGAACGGCGATTGTCGTTGTGTGTGTGTGTAAGTGCGTGTGTTTACTCGCACGGGGATAGGGATCGAGTGGAACCGGCGTGTTCGTGGCCGCTTCGAAGTGGGACGAAGTTGACCGCGGACGTTACCTGGGATCCCAGAGTAGCCCCCTACGAGTCGTGACTCACGCCCGTCTGCTGTCGTGTCAAGGGTCGCGGCAGGGCTTGGCGCTGGCCGCGTGGCGGCGTTTGAGTCGTGTGTCGGTGGCTGCAGCGACGCGCGTGCGCGTGAGCGATCGCGCGTCGGTGTCGATGGCGACGGCCTTGACGACGGTTGTTGCGGTGGTTGTGGTGATTCGTGTTGTTGTGGTGCTTGGCGTCGGTCGTCACGTGACGCGTCCTGTCTTCTGGTCCCGCAACGCAGGTCGGCTACGAGAACGCGGGCACCGTGGAGTTCCTGCTGGACAAGAGCGGCCGCCACTATTTCATCGAGGTGAACTCTCGGCTGCAAGTGGAGCACACGGTGACGGAGCAGATCACCGGGTGAGGACGACCACCTCTGCCACGGCCATCGTCACTCGAGACGTTGCGATCTGTCGATTACAATCGAGTCCTCTGCTCGAGACGCACGCATGAAACTGTGTGTGCAAAAATCGATTATTCGCGTCAATGATTCGCATCCACCCGCCATTCCGTCTTACTTTTCCCACACACCACCTCCGAGGCCCGTTGACCTTGCCCGACACTCCTCTGCGCCAGCCAACCTCTGCTACTGTCATTGTCGTCACTTGTCCACCGGCAGCGTGGACCTGGTGCACTCGCAGATCCACATCGCGGAGGGGCGCAGCCTTCCCAGCCTAGGCCTGCACCAGGACACTATCCGCATCAACGGCTGCGCCATCCAGTGCCGCGTCACCACCGAGGACCCGGCGCGCGGGTTCCAGCCGGACACCGGCCGCATCGAGGTGCGTGCCGCTCGCGGGCCGGCTCACCGGTTTCTTCTAGCGACGCGTTTGGCACCAAGCCCAATTACGTTTGTTCACGGTCAGCGTGGGGCGTCTCTGGCTTGCGTCTACTGCTGTCCAATCCGTCCCCCTCTCCTGTTTCTCAGCGCCGCCGTCATCGTGCACTTCCGCGTGCGCCTTTTGCAGTTTTCAAATCTATTATTGTGTAGTAGCAGGTAGAGGTAAATAAATTCTTCTTTAGGCACTTGAGAACTGTAATTGAATAGCGGTAAAGAACTCTTTTTCAGTCCACTGCTGGATGAAGGACTCCCTCGAACACCGTTATCAGTCACGGGGGTGGGTTGATCATACTTCACCGCGCTGGCGAGTGCGGGTTGGCGAAGGGGTGGGGAGCGCACCCAGAACCAGTTCACGGGTCACTCGCCCCCGATGTCAGCCGCGGCCGGGAATTGACGTCGGCTTTGCCGGTCGCCACGACGCTGCCGCCTCGCGTGCAGGTGTTCCGCAGCGGCGAGGGCATGGGGATCCGGCTGGACAGCGCGTCGGCGTTCCAGGGCGCCGTCATCTCGCCGCACTACGACTCGCTGCTGGTGAAGGTGATCGCGCAGGGCAAGGACCAGCCGTCCGCCGCCAAGAAGATGAGCCGCGCTCTGGCCGAATTCCGCATCCGCGGGGTCAAGGTGAGGCGAGCGACCCCACGGTTTTTCCTGGCGGAAGGAGCGGAAAGAGCTTCCGCGGAATTCCCACGGGGGGGGGGGGGGGGGGGGGGTTCGTTCCGAGTGGAGCGAGAGGGGGGGGGGGGCGCAGTTCGTGAGCGCGGAAACGGCGCTCGCTGTCGGAGCTCCGTGCGGGCGCACGCTCGCGCGGCGGACGCGGCGGCAGTAACCGAGATTGAGACGCGGGCGACAGACGCTGGAGACGGATTGCGGCCCGTGCGACCTGCGTGACCCCGCGCGGACGTGCTCCGACGCACGGCGCCGCACGCCGGTTTACACGCACGGCCGAACTCGCCGATCCCGCGCGTCCGCGCTGATCAATCTTAATAATTAATCTGTAGCTTGATTCTTTTTGTTCTTGCAATGACGCTTTCGTTTAGGCGACGGCGCGCGCCGTTGTTGCGCCGTGCGCTCGACGGATTGGACACCTGCGTCTAATCCGTGACTCCCAGCAGGGCTTGGCAGACTCTCTGTGAGGTGGCCAATCCTTTTGCGGAGATAAATGAGACGTAAGTCTCGGCGGCCGACGGTAAACACGTGCGGCCGTGTGTGCCGTTCCCCCAGCAACCCACACGCAGTTTCCAATCGCCACTCTGCGGCGCGCGACGGCGTCCAAGTTCATCTTTTATTTTTCATTACCCGCTCTGGCAGATGGATCACAAACAAGGACGTTGGAGAATAGAACAAAAACACGAAAAGTGCACAAACAAGCATGACGATAGGCGTGCTGGGAATTACATTGAGAGAGAGCGTGCAGAGCAGGGACAGGCGTGCGGTGCTGGTTACCTGCGCTCGAGTTGCTCTGGTCACGCGGGGCACGGCGAAGGCACTGAGGATGCGTTGGCGGTGCCTCCCGCCGGCTCCCTGCACGCGCGACGCGCGTTCACGTGCAGTGCGGTGCCCCCAGCGCTGCGCTCGCGCGCGCCCTCTCGCAGGAACGCGCCGTGGCGCCGGCAAGGGGACACCGGAGCCACCGCTCCTCGAATCCACCGGTGGCCGGGCACGGATGAACCCGCATTCCGCGATCGTTCCTTTTACGTTTTTTTTTTTTTGCTTCGCCGTTGATTCACTTCTCCCTCTGTCGCTCGGCGGCGGCGAGGATGCGAAGCGTCCGACGGGCCGGGCGAGCGGCCGTAATCACGTGGTGCACGGCGGAGGAGGGAGATGGCGTGGCGGACGGCGTGCGCGCGCCGAGCTGCCGCGCGCTCCCAGCGTCTCGGCAAATGAACGCTCGCCCCGCCCTCCCGTCTGCGCTGGGGCTGTGAGCGAGGCGGGGGTGGTGGGGGTGGTGGGATGCGTTGGGGCGGTTTGCACGGGGGGCTTGATCCTTCGCTCTCCACTCTAGAGACCGTGACTTTCGGTAATGGGATTACTAGCTCTGGATCTTGTGGCAAATTAGCGTCGTTCTCCAGCGCTTTCCCGTTTCTTAAAAAAGAAATATTGCAAATATGCTAATTCCTTTGTCAAAGCGCGTGGTCTTTTTCTTCTTCTCACACAGCTTAAATGTCGTGATCTAAGCGTGGCTTCTTCCACTCCAGCGCTGTCCTCCAGACAGGCTCGTCCCTTCACCTGATGAAGGCCGCTTGTGTTGTGGCCGAAACGTCGTGATTTTTTGTTATTTTATTTTCACCTACGTGACTTTACCCAATAGAACCAAAGAGTATGGATCCTAGCAGTCACGAAAGCTTTAAATCTAGAAATATTGCAAATACCAGCGCCGCCGGGAGCCGTGGTCAGTCCATGGGGATCGTCGATGTCAATGGATGGTGCGGGGCCGCCACCTGCCCAGCTGCCCGCTCACTCGCCCACTGCTGCGAGTGAAGCGACACTCGGCTCCTTTCTTCGTGAAGCGACAGGATCCTGACACGCACGCTCCCATGACACACCATGCATGCACGCGTCACCCTGGGAAGCGCTGCCGAGGCATGCGTGGGGCAAGCCCCCTGATGGAGGTCGCAGGAGTGACGTCCTTGTAATTGTGGTATTGACGATTGTGTGTGGGTGTAGATGGGTAAAGGTTAGCGCGCTGTGCTAATAACACGCGTGCACAAGGATCGATTTGTGTACAGGAGGGGCACAGCCTTACTGTGAGTTCCTTGGTCCGGCCCATCCGGACTCGTGGTCAGGCTTTGGACTTTCCCACCCCGTCCTGTATTAAGACACGAACCTTGACTGCAATTTTGTTGCAAAAACTACATCAGCGTCTTTCACACGGTGTGTAGCTCAACATCCTAAAGAGTACAACAAAGTCTAGTCTGCCTAACGTGGCGACCGCTGTCCTTGTCCGTGTGCAGACCAACATCCCGTTCCTGCAGAATGTCCTCAACAACTCCCAGTTCGTGTACGGCACCGTGGACACGCAGTTCATCGACGAGAACCCGGAGCTCTTCAACCTCAAGCCCGGCCAGAACCGTGCCCAGAAGCTGCTCTACTACCTGGGTAGGCCTCGGGCGTGCGCACGGTGGCACACAGCCTTGGTTTCTGTCACGGGCGGCCGAAGCTAAGATCCGAACCCCAGGATCTGAGCAGGGGAGGGACACGCGCCAACGGCGCTGCCGCCTGCCCCAAAGCCCCCCCCCCCCCCCCCCCCCCCCCCCCCCCCCGAGTGGCGCACATCCACGTGTGTGGCCAGGGCGCTGACGTCGGAGTCCCGGCCTGCCCCTCGGCAACTTTTGGAAGTTGCCGCTCGCGTAAATAAAGCAGTGAAGGAACAGCGCGACTTATGACGTTGCCGGCTCTTCGGTTTTTGGTTGGAGATGTTGGAACAATCGGGCGTTGTGCCGCCCCCCCCCCCCTCCCCCCCCCAGGTCACGTGATGGTGAATGGAGCCATGACCCCGCTTCCAGTCAAGGCCAAGGTCACCGACGTCGATCCCGTGGTGCCGGACGTCCCTCTTGGTAATGGATTCGCTTCCACAATCGATCAGCTGCTCACAGCCGGGCGAGCTAGATGGACCGACTGGGCCCCCTCTCATTTGTGACTCTTCTTATGTTCTTATTTACGTTGTATAATGACGCGATCTGTGCATGCCATCAGCATCGTCATCGTACTCATTCGGCATTTCGCGATTTAACGCACTACTTCGTCACTTTATTATTCCGCGTCGCCTCAACCCCAAGCTCACGTCACTCACGGCATCACCACCGTCCGTCCTTTCTCGTATCCGTCGCCTCTCAGCCTTCGCCTCCACCACCACCTACCCTGTAAATTGGTTTGATTTGCGTAATTTCGATATTCGTCATCGCACCTTTCAGGACCGCATTCGTGATGCAACCTGGGGGGTATTTCCGTACATAAGGAACGCATTCGTGATGCCAAATGGGGAGTATTTGAACTCCCGTTGTTCACCTTGCTTGTTCGTGACGAACAAAGTGAAGCAAAGAGAAGCAATCACACTTTTGTAAATCTTTAAAACCGCTCAAATGTGAGCGGCTCTGGACCTACACGATGAGGATCATAGCATTTCCCCACGGACGTAATTGAAGCGAACATAATGCAACGTTGAGGTGATAAGCGTGCGACTGTGCCACCGCAGGCCTGTGGAGGCACAAACCCAGCTGACCACGGAGAGCGCACAGCAAACCCCAGCACAGCGACCCCGCGTTGTTATGTGAAGTTGTAGATAATGAGCCGCTCGTCTGTGCTCGTCGGCTGGCTGCGACCTGCAAGCGAGTCCTGCAGCCATGCGCCTCCCCTTGCGGCCTGATGAATTATTCACCGATCGGCGTCGTGATTCAATTCAAGAAACGGTTGTTTTATTTATACTGTGATGCATTGCAGCATGACAAAGTGGCTCTAAGGGGGCTCGCGCGAACTGACCTGCGTACAACGTATACGATCGATTCCCACGCACGATTCGACGTGTATCCTGAGCGTAGGAATCACTTTCCGTTGCTCGGTCGATGCATCGTTACGCCCCTGATGCATGGCCATGCACGATGGATCGCCCTACGACTCGCGTGCGTAGGCAGGTTCATGTTCGTGGATGAGTTGACTGTGTTCCCTCCCTATGCACAGGGGAGTTCATACATCCACGCAGGGCTTAATTTCTCGCCAGATAATTACAGGCTTACTGGTAGACTCGAGTACGTGGCATGCGGCGAGTAGGCACGGCTACAGCGAGAGGCATTGTGGATGTGGTGTGCTGGGTGCGTAATTATATTCTGGGTCGCCGACCCACACAGACCTGGCTGAAACCCTGCGTCTAGTTCACTTCGCACTCACCTGCCTGCAGCTCAGCCGATTGTACCTTCTATCTCTATTCAGGGGTAGTTGAGCATTCCCCTATTTGTGCGCATGTTACCCCAACTTACATACAGGTGAGTGGACCTTGCCCCTAGCCTGCGACATGTATATTCAATGGGTAGAATGCTCTTCAAATGAACGACCTGTTAGCCCAAAGCGCATCGTAACAGGAGCTAGCCGTCTGATGAGCTATCTCACTGAGCATTAGGTGGGCGTGGTGTCGCATCATTTTCAGATCTGATAGTGAATGTCCCCCATCTTGAACCAGGCCCACCTTAACGCACCGCTCGGTAAGAGCCAACTTCCGCCTCGTAGCGCCACGGCAGAGCACTCTGGGCCGTTGAACGCACCCCAGGTGAGTTGATGGCGCGTACCGCTTCGCCTGTGCGCAGGCGGGCCCCCGTCGGGATTCCGGGACGTGCTGGTGACACAGGGCCCCGAGGCCTTTGCCAAGGCAGTGCGCAAGCACCGCGGCCTGCTGCTCATGGACACCACGTTCCGCGACGCGCACCAGTCGCTGTTGGCGACGCGCGTGCGCACGCACGACCTCAAGGCCATCTCTCCGTTCGTCGCTCACTCCTTCAGCAACCTGTACAGCATCGAGAACTGGGGAGGTGAGTGGCGCCCAGCTCAACCGAACCTTCACCTGCCATCCCTTCCCACCCCGCGGGGTTGCGCGTATAACCTTGCAGGTGATGTCGGTGGCGTTGGATATACCTTGGTGGTCAGGAGCAGCTTGCGATTGGAAGCTTGTAAATTAAAATCCTGGTTGGAGGTTGACGCGGAATATCATCCCTTCCTCCCAGGGTTGATTAAAAAACAAAGTTTTGGGAATTCAGCAGTGGTTGTCCTGTGGATATTTCTCACCCCCACCACCAAAGGAGCACGGGGAACATCGACCCCTGGCTCAGGGCTTTAAACAGGAGGTGAGCACCGCCTCGGCGCTCATTTGAGCAGGACATCTCCCTGGCTCTTTTTGAGCATGGAGGTTGCCTCGTGGCTACGTTGAGCAAATGCCGAGACGGAGCAGTCCTCAGGCGTGTTGGTGTTGATCAACTCGGCTCAATCATCGACGATGGCAAAAAGCCCCCCCCACCAAATTATTTTGAGGTTTTGTGCTAAGTTCCAGCTCAATGCCATCAACGGAGGTGAGTGCCACCTCCCACTCATTAAACCGTGTCTCTAGATCCCAGTTGATTCTGTTGGGCTCCCCTTTCTTGGTCTTGTCAGTCAGGGGTTTCGCAATCTCTGCTAACTGCGGAATGAACTTCCTGGAATACCCCACGACACCCAACAATGAGCGAGAAGCTCCTTATTACCGGTTGGAGCCTTTTTCTTGAGACATTTTGTGTACTTTCTCGTCCTGTGGTTGGAGATGTCCCTTCACCTACCCGATGTCCCAGGGAGTCGATCACCGGCGTATCCCATTTGGCACCTTGTCGGTCGAGCCGTCAAGTGTCCGTTGGCGAGTCGTTTGAGAACTGTCTCTCGAGGACCTTCAAATGTTCCTCACATGTCTCGATGTAAATCGGTACACGTTTGTCGATACACTTGACTGCCTGTGTGAAACCACTGTAGCAGTGATCGTATCATTCGGCTAAACACTGCTGGTGTTGGGGCAGCGGGTTCGATCCCATCTTTCAATCCCCCTGCCTTCTATAATCGGTTTAGTTTCCTCGACGCTGTGTACGTGCGTCACAACGCGATGTAACGGGGCCGCGCATTGCCTCAATACAAGTTTTAAACACTGCCGGTTGCGTTCACAACTCCGATCGGCATCACCTTAAACTCGCACAGCCCGTCATGTGTTGCAAAAGCAGTCTTACATCGATCTTCAGCTGCCACTGGAATTTGTCCCAGCATGCCTTTCGGCAAGTGTAGGCGGGTAGAATATCGCGCCCCATTTAGTTGTCCGAAGAGTGCCTCTTGGTTGGGAATTGGCTCCGCTTCCTGTTCTGTTTCCCGATTCAGTCTACGGTCATCTGTAGGAAAGCGGAACGATCCATTTTTCTTCCCAACACACACCACGGGACTAGAGTGTCGCCCCCATGTCCTTCATTGACGCGATTTTCTGCTCGATTTGCCGTTTGACGGCTAAAGGCACTGGATATGGCTGCTGCCGAATGTCTGTCCAGGCTTACTTGTCAGTACGTATTTGTACTTTTGTAGCGTTCTAAGCTGAGTTGCATACTCACTGCTGCGCCCACCAAATTTTCCTCTGCCTCGTGTGGCTCCCACTTCATATCTGAATCCTCAGCCAGGCGAAATGATACCCGTTTCCACAACCTCCAGTCGTGTCACTCCACAGCCGTAAGCCTCTGCCTTGCCCCCCCCGCCTTGCCCCTCGCCTCGCCCTCGCCCATCCCTCTGCCACCTCCCAGGGGCGACGTTCGACGTGGCGATGCGCTTCCTGTACGAGTGCCCTTGGAAGCGCCTGCAGAAGATGCGCAAGCTCATTCCCAACGTGCCCTTCCAGATGCTGCTGCGTGGCGCCAACGCGGTGGGCTACACCAACTACCCCGACAACTCCGTCTTCAAGTGAGCGGCCTCGCATCCCCCCCCCCGCCCCTCGTGTTTGGCAGGCGGGGTACAGGGGGTCCCCGATATACGTCGGGGTTCTGGACCGGAAAGTTGCGACTTGGAACGAAACGACGTATAACAGGGGAATTCCTCCCCCCCCTCCCCCGTGAGAATAAATAGCAACGAAAATATACGTACCGTACGTGTGCACTACCTATACTATACTGCACAACACATACTCTACACTCTACACATTTAAAACCAATTCTGAGTTCATAAACCTTTAAACAGCATTTATACTCTAACACTTATTTGAAAACCATTTTTAAGAGCATTTTGAAGCAGCCCTGTACACTTGAAAACGTTTTTCCTTTTTCGAAAAGAAAACGTATTTGTGACATGCTTAAGCAAATGTAAAAGAGCACGGGAACTTCACCTACGTTTATGATCTTGCCCAGAGGATTGGATGATATTTTGGGATAAAATCCACGCCGATTACAACAGAGCACTCGTAGTAGCTACGCACGCGAGAGAGAACACGACGGGACTGAGAAGCTGGCGGCGAACGCTGCGAAATACGAGTTGTACAGTAAATCTCCCCCCCACCCCCCCCCCCCCCCCCCCCCCCCCCCCCCCCCCCCCCACAGCTGAGTTCAGCTGAGCCGTGTCGATAACGATAATCGAAAATGATCATCTTCACTGGTGCCGCCGGGCTAGTAGCGCGGCGCGCTGACCGCCTACTCACCCACGCGCAATGTTCGCCTCGGCTTGCCTGAAAATGACAAAGCGGCACAAATATATGCGGGGACATTTTGCGTTACGTTCCTCAACAAGTCGGAGACTTGAGTGCGAAACGACGTATGTCGGGGCGACGTATATCGGGGCCCGACCCCCTGTACACCGGCACCGGCAGTTTTCTTGTTGCGGTGCGAGGTGAGCGTCGAACGCGTTCTCACGGGACCGGCGGCGGTTCTCGGTCTCCTAATTGTGGCCTCCTCGCGCGTCCCACGGCCGGGCTCATCGGTTTGCGAACGGGCAGAGCCGTGGGAAATGCGGGAAGATCGTCCGCGATGGAGGCGCGGTGGCCGGCTCTCGCGAGGCGCGGCGCACGGGCCAGTCTGTGCCGAACGGCGCCGCGAGTGTGCCGACACCAAATCTCTTTCCACAGTTTTATCCCCTGGTCGTGCCATTGGCGTGACGTAACGAGACGAAGAATCCATAACAATGTCGAAGATCATTTGGATGACGTGTTTGGCCTCTTTGTTCACGATGTGAATCTGGCCTCGTGCATTGGTCTGCTGTAAGGCGGTGTTGACGACAAAATGTGATGACCTTTGGGTTCATACAGTACCAATGTAGTGGCTTTATTGTATTTTTTTCCCTTCTATATTTGCCGGCATGTGAATTGTCTCCACAGTTAGCTAATATTGCCGGCAAAGACTAATGTTGGAAGATAGACTCAAACGGGTGACCTCTGGATTGCCAGTCGTTACACCGCTGTGGAAGCTCCATGCAGCATGAATAGCGAAGCAGGGAGCGAAGTCACTCCATCGTGCTTTCTAAGGGCCCGGCATTCTTTGCTGCGGCTGCTGCCTTTCTCCGTGGCAGGTTCTGCGAGGTGGCCAAAGAGAACGGCATGGATATCTTCCGCGTGTTCGACTCGCTCAACTACCTGCCCAACATGATACTGGGCATGGAGGCGGCGGGCAACGCAGGCGGCGTGGTTGAGGCCTCCATCTCCTACACGGGCGACGTTTCGGACCCCACCAAGACCAAGTACAACCTCGAGTACTACCTGAAGCTGGCCGACGACCTGGTCCGTGCCGGCACCCATGTCCTGGGCATAAAGGTACCGACGCGGCCCACCAACGACAGCGGGCGCTCTCGCCTCCAGCCCGTCGGCCTTGCTTGCTTAGGCTGAATGGGGGGAACGCTCACCTGTGGTCAGGCGATTTGGGGGCTCGCCCGTGGACAGGTGGTGATGGGGTGATTAGTTGTAGTCGGGTGACTGGGCCCTCGCCCGCAGTCGGGCGATGGGGCGGTTAGCCGGAGTCAGGTGACGGTGATCAGCGACGACAAAGTGACGGGACCCTCACCTATAGTCGGGTGAGGGGGCGCTCACAGGAGAGGTACCACTCGCCTGTGTGTGTGTGTGCGCTATGAGGATGGGTCGTTGTCCAGAACATCGCCTATTGTTGTCGTTTTGTATCGGGGCATTGTTGTTAACGATCGAGTTGAGTCTTTACAATGATACTGCAGTTTGACGTGCACTATGTGCCACTCTGGATCACGACAAATGCAAGATATATCGTAACTCCCGCTTGGCAAGTGTAGGATTCTCGACATATTGTGCCAAAACCTTTTATAGAACATTGTTATCTGGGGAGCGTCTTGTTTATTGAATCTCGCGACTATAGTTGGGCAGTCCAGAAGCATTTTTGTTTCCCAAAACAAGAGAGAAAACAAGTAACCTGGGGCTCTTCACATCCTGACGGCGAAGGCACGCAGGAACATAATGTACATTTCAAAATAGATACCGGAAGCGTGAGCAGAACGGAGCTTATTACCGCGAATCGCTTAGGCTTCGATGACACCATGATCTTGATCACCCTCGCCGCTAACTGCTTGCCCCACGCCCCTCACCGCTCACCGCAATTCCAAGGACATGGCAGGGCTACTGAAGCCGAAGGCGGCGCGCATGCTGGTGGGCGCGCTGCGCGAGCGCTACCCGGACATGCCGATCCACGTGCACACTCACGACACGGCGGGCGCCGGCGTCGCGTCTATGCTGGCGGCGGCCGAGGCCGGCGCGGACGTGGTGGACGTGGCGGTGGACTCCATGTCCGGCATGACCTCGCAGCCCAGCATGGGCGCCCTGGTGGCCTCGCTGCAGGGCACGGAGCTCGACACGGGTGGGTGTGGCGGGAGGGCGCGGCTCGGGGCGGGCGGGGGGGGGACAGATGCCACCACTGCACAGGTTGGCCTGGTTATGCCGTGTGGCTCTCCTCTGGGTTTTCTGTTTATACTGTGCGTTGTTTGGCACGATGTTCAACGTTAACTGCCAGACAGAAGCATTCACCGCCAGCCAACGACGAGCGTGCGACCTCCCTCGTCGCTCAGGAGATGTACGACCTGACCCTTATTCCGACCCGGTTGCTGCGGAGCGCTCGCCGTCATTTTTCGTAACTTCTCAATAACACGCGGGCGCGAATCGCATTCCCCGCAGGCATCGACCTGCAGAAGGTGTTCGACTACAGCGAGTACTGGGAGGTGGCTCGCCAGCTGTACGCGCCCTTTGACTGCACTGCCACCATGAAGTCGGGCAACTCGGACGTGTACGAGAACGAGATCCCCGGCGGCCAGTACACCAACTTGCACTTCCAGGCGCACAGCATGGGGCTTGGACACAAGTTCAAGGAGGTGAAGAAGGCCTACGCCGAGGCTAACAAGCTGCTCGGGGATCTCATCAAGGTGCCGCCCCCCCCCCACCCCGCGCCCCCTGCACGCGCCGCTTGCAGGCGCCGTTTGCACACGCCGCTTGCAGGCGCCGTTTGCACACGCCGCTGGCACACGCCTCTGCGTGCACGGCAGAGTGTGCACTATTAAATGTTCCTGTGTGCTTGAAAATGAGGCGCGAGACTCCCGTCGGTGAGCTGACAGGACGCACCGCGTGGCGTCACCGCCCGCCCGCCCCCCCGCCCTCCACCTGGCCACAGGTGACGCCGTCATCCAAGATCGTGGGCGACCTCGCGCAGTTCATGGTGCAGAACAGACTGACCCGCCAGGAGGTGGAGGAGCGAGCCGAAGAGCTGTCGCTGCCCAAGTCCGTCGTGGAGTTCATGCAGGGCGCCATCGGGGTGCCCCCCGGGGGCTACCCAGAGCCACTGCGCAGCAAGGTGAGAGTCCGCCTGGCGCTCCTTCCAACACCCATCCCAGCATCTGAACCCTCAACCTTCCGACTGAGGAATGCTCGCTCTACCGCTGAACAGATTGGTCAGTTAAAAATGTATGTATGTTGAATTTCCACCACCCGACACGGCCAAACAGTAAAAAAAGTGTCACGTTTACAAAGGACAAATAGTTCACTGCTTTAGCCCACCGGTGAGTGAATCAACATCGTTTAAAATTTGAGTACGACGTTTCGCTGGTAATTACATCCAGCATCATCGGGCAATTCGCCAGAATGGTAAAGCCCTCACTTGCTCCCGGTTCTTAGAGCAGCAGGGTGACGTCATCATTTAACTCATTCAGGTTCAATGATTTGGTAATCAGTCAATGGTTATGATTAGTAATGAGTTGTAGATTAGTAATTAGTTGTAATGTGTGTTATTGTGATTATATGCTACGTTAGTAATCCGTTAATTAGTGTTTCCCCTATAAGGAATTGTATTATGTATTATTTAATAATACGCTTCCAAGCTGCACTAAGCCTGTAGCTGTCAGAGCGATTAAAGTTATTTCTGTTTCTCTCAATTTCAATGGATTATCTAATTAGTCTTTGCCAGTAATAATTAGTTTTACACAACACTTCAACGGTATCAAAATCAATTGAGTGTCCTTGTTGACAAGCATGTTCTGCCACTGCCGACAATTATCGATTATATAATTACAATACCCCCCCCTCCGCCTCAAATCACTGCACCTGAATGAGTTAAATGATTACGTCACCCTGCCGCTCTATTTAAGACTGGGAGCAGTTGGAGGGCTTCATCATTCTGGCGAATTGCCCGATGATGCTGGATGTAATTACCAGCGAAACATCGTACTCAAATGTTAAATGTTGATTCACTCTTCAACACACCGGTGGGCTATAGTAGTGAACTATTTGTCCTATGTAAACGTGACACATTTTTTACTGTTTGGCCGTGTCGGGTGGTGGAGGGTTACGACACATCTAACCCAAAAACCTTTATTATGAATATTGGTCGCGAAAACCTACATGTTAAACTCATGTTGAACTTCTTTCGCACCATTTGTAGCCAACCATGCAAATCGGAGGTGCGATTGTGAGTGCCAGAACTCGGCGAATAATTAACTGCTTATGTACGTGGTAAGTCCAGGCACTTGGCTCGTGATTGTGGCCAGCAGATGAAGAGTGTCTCAGGGACTAAAGACTTTAAGGTCCACACAGAATTAACGGGGCAACTGTTCGCTCTGACATCAGGAAAAGGTCACGTTGCAGTATTGGCTGATGGTTCTGTCAGGTCCGTCGTGTAGACCGACCCGACCCACGACCACAACATATAAAATGCACTTTGCACTTTAATATTTAACACAACACAACTAATCGTAAAACAATCACATTAACCAACCCACTCGTCTCCCCCTGAAAAGTCACCCAACCGCACCTTGGGGTCTCAAATCTGGAAACTCCTCTTGGCCTCGTGCGGGAGCAGCTTGCAGCTTCAAACCCCTGGGCTCTGATGGATGAGCAGCTTGCAGATTCAGACCCCTGAGCTGTGATGCAGGAGCAGCTTACAGCTTCAAACCCCTGGGCTGATGCAGGAGTAGCTTACAGCTTCAAACCCCTGGGCTCTGATGCAGGAGTAGCCTCCTGAGCTGTGATGCAGGAGCAGCTTGCAGCTTCAGACCCCTGAGCTGTGATGCAGGAGCAGCTTACAGCTTCAAACCCCTGGGCTCTGATGCAGGAGTAGCCTCCTGAGCTGTGATGCAGGAGCAGCTTGCAGCTTCAGACCCCTGAGCTGTGATGCAGGAGCAGCTTGCAGCTTCACACCCCTGAGCTGTGATGGAGGAGCAGCTTGCAGCTTCACACCCCTGGGCTCTGATGCAATGAAGACGCGCCTGTCACGAGTTGCGGCAGGGCGACAGCCCCGGAGACTCGCAGCCTCCGTGCTCGGCTAGATTGTGGACGTAGAACGCCCGCAGTTGTTAGGTTGCAGAAATCGTGTGTGCCTAGGAGACTCACCTTGTCATCTTGTGCCGTCAGGTCGAGTACGACCTCTGGTGACATTCACGACCAGACTTTTGCCATCCACACCTGTCTCTCGCTGCCTCTGGTAGCTAGTGGTCTCTTTGATGTCGTTCATCCACCTCCTCCGAGGTGGACCTCTGCCCCCGCTACCTTCTCCATTCTCAAGCAAGACCAACTCCTCTAGTCCAGGGGTCGTCATTAACGTGTCCAAAGTTTGTCAATTTCTGCTTCACGAATAAGGCCTCGAGTGGGAGAATGAGGACCGATCTCTCTCAGGATGGACGTTTGATATTTTGGCTATCCATGGTATACGTAGCATTATTCTCCAGCACCGCATTTCGAATGCGTCGATCCTCTTTCGCTCACTCAAATCTCGGCATCCATGACTCGCATCCATGTAGGGTGACAGGGAATAACAAAGCCTTTGACAAGCCTCTTCTTGGTGTTTATGGTAATGCATTTGTCTCTCCATATCTTATTGATCTGTATAATGGCTGTTCTACCGAGAACTAGCCACCTTCTGATCTCGGGGCCACACAACCCCGTCTTCAGCAACAACCTGTTGAGACTCCTGAGACCCCATAGTCGGCGGTACTGTAGACGTGGAATGCCCACAGTTGCAGAAATCCTGCGTGCCGAGGAGACTCCCAGCCTCCGTACTCGGCAGTACTGGAGACATCGTCACAGGTTGCAGAAATGTGGAGGCCTGGGAGGTTCATCAATGGCGAACTCTCTCCCTACCTGAAGGCGTACGGCAGAGGCAGGGCACGACCACCACCCAGTCGCCGGGAGTGGTCTAAATACCACTGTCTGTAACGCTGAAAACCTGTTCATACACTTCCTGTGACAATCCTGCCTGCACAAACCTGCTGATACTCTTGCTGTATCTCGAACACTCTGTCTGAAACGCTGAAACCTGTTCATATACTTGCTGTATCAAAGTCTGCCTGCAACACTGAACCCGTTCATACACTACCTATATCAATCAGTCTGCCTGTAACATTGGAAGCCTGCCAATATGCTTTCTGCGTCAAACAATTTACCTGAAAACCCAGCTCCAGGACTCTGCCTCTCCCTGAAAGACTCTTAACACAACCTGAAAGTAACATTTCTCATTTGACTATGCCTGAAAACTAAAATATGATCACAATGTGCCATAAATGTACTTTACAAATTACCATCCTCAGAAATTAATTTATTAAGGTGCACCTGTTGAAATTTGGAAAACACCTGAAACAGCTAACCAATTTACCTGAATTATTACTAATGTAAAATAACTCTCTGCCCTGAACTCGCAGGTAACATTTGCAAACGTATTTTATGGCTATGGCCCTGATACATGGCTCATGTGTGTACACCTGCTTTATTCAATAGAGTTTTTAAACCTGCTCCCCTGTGTCCGTGTTTCTGTCTGCAAAATATTTTCAAACATCATAATTAGCTCCTCCGGGCTAAAAGACTTGTGCAGCACTGCAGGAGATGATCCCTCCCACGCTATTTCTAGGCAGGAACGGGCTTCCACGTAACGTCAGGCCGCAGCTGATGTGCGGCGCCTACTCGCTTGTCTGTGTGCCTGCTTGTTTGTCTCTCTGCCATACTGCCTGCCTGTTTTCTGAGATGTCTATGTGCCCATATTCCTGTGCACACCGTTGTGTCCGTCTGTCTGCCTACCTACCTGTCTGTCTGCTTATCTGACCGCGTATGTTCCTGTCTGCCTGTATCTGAGGCGGGCCGTCGGGGCCACCAAGGCCTTCTCTGCTGGCCTACAGATGATCAGAATCAGAAAATTTGTATATTTTATTATTGTATATATATTTTAATTAATCCTGTGTATTTAACAAAGTTCGATCCCATCAGTTTATTAACGTCATTTCATTGCTACTCTCTCCCTCAGTTGCGCTGCTTCCAGTGCAGCTCAAAAATTAGAGCTTTTATCCAATCAGATTTTCCACCTGTGCTGTCCCTAAGGCCTTCAGAATGTCGAGTGAATCCCCTCTGCTGTTGAAGTAAATGGGGACGATGTTGTTGATTGTCATATTCTTTAACCAATCAGATGTCGAGTTTGCCATGGTGTATTCTTTGACACGCCGGAGCCTTCTAGCTGGCCTAGCCGCCAACGTCCGCATTTTTCGTGTGGCTTGATCGGAGGGCCAGTTAGCTAACTGAAGTAAAACTAGCTAGCACGTAATGTAGCATCATCTAAGATTTATTTAAAATTCATTTCGTGACGTTTCGATTTTTGTTTTTTGTTTTCTGTGGGGAAGCCTGTTGAATCCTGATTGTGTTATTTGTGTTTTACGGCATTTTTGCTTGCTTGGTGGTTGTGTGAGTAAATGTGACTGGTTGTTGCGAGTTTTTTCTCTTTTCTTTGGCAATGACATTGATTTGGGCTATGCGATGTCTATTCATGATGCAGCATCCTGTCATACTGCGTAACAGTGGTAAATCCTTGATGGTTTCAGTCACCATGTATTCATGTCTCTGCAATTAGTGTATTGTAATTCTCATAGGTGTTGAGCCTCGTGTTAAATCACTTTATTTCACTCGATAAAGGTTGCTGTCACTGTGAATGTGGGGTGGTTACGTCGAATGACAATAGCCTGTAGCCCTAGTGTCATGGTGAAGTTATTCGAAGACGGTTTCATTGCGGGATGATAGCACTGAAGGCCTTGGTGTAAAATACACGGCCCACCACTGGCCTGTATATATTTTTACTACTATAATGAGCCAAGAATGTCTGTGTGTCCCGCGCGTGACATCACTCCACGTCGAACAGCCCCCCAAATTAATAATCATGAAGAGGTGACGTCTTACAAATGGACACCCCCACCATTAATACTAATTAGCGAGTGACGTCACTCCACATGGGGGGGCGAGGCGCCTCCTCCCCTCTCCTCAGCGTCAACTTACAACCCTCACGACAAAGGCAGAACCCTCACGTCACGCGATCTCCGTAACGCTATTGAGATATAAAAGAACAAGGGATTATATCCTTTAAATGAAATAAGTCTGTGTCACCGCGGCCTTACAAATTGCGCACAAATTGATGCAATGAATATCACGTCGCGGTCTGATTTTTGCTTGCAAGTTTTCAGATTTACTGAAATACACCCGTCCTTGGACGGGCAAAAGGCTAGTGTCTGTATATTTGTCTATCTCTGTCTGCCTATGTATTCATCTTCATAAATGTCTTGTCAGTTCATATCTGTCTGGTTACACGTTTGTCCATCTGTTTGTCTGCCTACGTTTCTACTTGCCCGTTGTCCGTCAGGCCTACCGCTTGCCCGTCCGTTCACCCGTGCGTCTTTCCCCGTCGTGTCCCTCCAGATTCTGAAGGACATGGAGCGGACCGAGGGCCGCCCCGGGGCGTCGCTGCCTCCCCTGGACTTCGTGCAGCTGGAGAAGGATCTGAAGGGTCGGCACGGGAGGGATATCACCCCGGAGGACGTCGTGTCGGCCTCCATGTACCCACAGGCAAGGGAGTGCGCCGCACGCGATCGCAGGGCAGAGGGGTGATGCTAAGAGCAATTATAAAATATGGGTTCTACTCAGCAGTCTATTACTGAGCATCGAGCATTGGCAAGCCCCGTGCTTCCGTGTGGCTCAACCGCACAGGTGATGTGAGCATTCCTCAATGGCAATGGTTTGTTGTTGCGCCTGTTAATAAATGTGTTTCTTTTCAGTCTGCAAGTTCAGTCCGGAGTTGGCTTTAAAAGTTTTTTGTACGTAGAATTTTGAACATAAGGTGACATGCATTGGCTCCGTGATGTTTTTAAAGGTTTTATTTGAAATGTAATATCCCCCCACCCCCCCCCCCCCCCCGCTCAAGGGGATGTTAAAACATCATATTAATAAATTCAAAGATGGAATGAGGTAAAGCGGCGGTGCAGTGAGCCAGCGTTGACGGTAAACTTACACAAGGGGTGGGGGGGGGGTGCCGTGTCTTGCAGGTGTTCGACGAGTACAAGGAGTTCACGGCGCAGTTCGGGCCGGTCGAGTGCCTCAACACTCGCCTCTTCCTGGAGGGGCCCCAAATTGCCGAGGAATTCCAGGTGAGGCCTCGCACCTCGTCGTACTTCGTCATCCCTCGTCGGCCCTAAGATGGGTCGTGCCGCAAACCGCGACGCTCCACCTGGAAAGTAAGGGCACTGAAATGTTCACAAAACTTCATATCGCCGCTAATTCACAACGCCGACGGGTGTTGCGCAGGTTGAGCTGGAGAGGGGGAAGACGCTGATCATTAAGGCGCTGGCTCTGGGAGACCTCAACAAGGGCCACCGGGAGGTGTTCTTTGAGCTCAACGGGCAGCTCCGATCGGTGCTCGTCAAGGACACCAAGGCCATGAAGGTAGAGACGCACGATCCAATCGTCGGCCGTGTTAGAGACGCGCTCCATTTTTTATTCGCCGTATAAATTATGTATTGCCGATGTCTCCGCGCGATGCTGTGATTCCTTTAATAAAGAACGGGGTTCAATCGCGTGGTCTTGAAAAGAGTAAAGATCGGCAGCGTCGCCAGGAAGCCCCCCGCGACGAGGGTGACAAGCGCGGTGACCGCGACGCGCGACCTCGTTGTGTCGTCGCCTCCGTATGCGCACAGCAGGGGGGCCACGCCACCCTGCGCCGCGTTGGCCGCAATCGAGCGCCGACCTCTCCGACCCCATCGACCGCCGGCTGATGGAGGGGAGCGGCTCGTGCTCCGCTCGCGATCGGTCAACTCAGCCTTAAACGAGTACCTGGTGTGTAACCACGAGTACTCGTGAAACAAAGACGGAAAGCGGTCTGCGGTCTGTGCGTGAGCGTGGTTTCTGCTCTCGTTCACAGAACATGCACGTGCACCCCAAGGCGCTGAAGAGCGTGAAGGGGCAGGTGGGGGCCCCCATGCCGGGCAGCGTGATCGAAATCAAGGTGAAGGAAGGGCAGCAGGTGGAGAAGGGGCAGCCCCTGTGCGTGCTGAGCGCCATGAAGATGGAGACGGTGGTGAACGCGCCCATGACGGGAAAGATCATCAAGCTGCACGTGCAGCCCAGCATGCACTTGGAGGGCGACGACCTCATCCTGGAGATCGAGTGACGGGCGTCACGCCGCGCCGGCCCCTCGTCGCGTTCCGTTTCTTCGGGCCTCACCTCTTCAGTCCAACCCCTCGCCCCTTCCTAACCCCCCCCCATCTCTCCCTCCCTCGCGCTGTGTGCGTGCGTGAAATCCGCACCTGCACGGGACGCAGCGCTTGTCCCCTCGCCCGTGCGATAGTTTCACGGTTCTGACTCCTGCGTCGAATGAAACGCGTTTGGACGCGCCTGCGGGAAAAAGCCTGCGCTAGCGTCCGCTGCACGATTCGTCCGGGAGCAAGGCGTGTGCCCGTTCGTGGGTATCGCCGCGGAATTCGAGCATTGCAGCAATTGACACTGAAATGATTACCTCCGCCCTCTGCTTTCCGGGGCTCGCGAGTGAACAGGGCAGACAGCGGCACGCGCGCGCTCTCGCGTTTGTCTCGGGATGTCGCCCGCAGACGTCCCGGGGTCCTGTCCACGCCAGGCTTGGGGTTGACCAAGTGCAATTAAAGTATTTTTTTCACACTGATCGCAATTAGGATTGCTAAATGAAACTTGACAGTGCCTCGCCGCCGCCGCCGTCGCCGTCAACGCGGTCCGTGCGTCTCGGCAGAGTTCGTGAAGATAAACCGCGAGTTCGTCACCAGGCGGCTGCACACATTGCGCGTCGACCACCACGCCTAGAATCCGCCGGTAATCGTGGGCGTTTGGCACTGTTATTTCATTGGAGATGTTTTGTTTGTTGGGTAACGGCCTTAGCAAACCGATACTAGCGCGATGGGATTACATACCCCCAAATCCCTCCCCCCCCACCCCCCAAGCACTTTCCTGCGCCTGATCCACTTGCATCGCAGCTCACGCCTCTTGTGAACCGCACCTTCTTGTGTCCGTGCGAAGCTAACAAGTTTCTGGATGTGAAACCGGAGGCCACTTTGAAGGGCCAGCGTTCGATTGTTTAACCTTGAAACGTGTTTGGCCTTGTTGTCTAGGTCAGGGTACACGTCGCCGTCGAAGGTGAAACACGTTAGCCAGCCATGGCAATGTCGAGGTTGGCGTCACGGTTAATGTTGGGTTGAAAAGGTCGGTCGTCAGGATTCTGCAGCGGGTAGCTTTATTGACAAGCGGCTGTTGCACCGATGAGTAAGTAAAGCATTGTCGGCGCCATGTTTTCTGGTTCCAAAATATAATTCCACGAGGTCACATGGCACATTTGGACCAATCGAACGGCAGTTTAACCCATAGCATTGACGAATAGTGGACAAGTGGCGACGGAAGCATTGGAGAGTTTACCTGAAGCGCTGAACCGACCTCCTGTAAGACTTGTCGAGCGCATGCTGTCTCCAAAATTAAATGAGGATTGCTCGGCGTTCCCGCAGAAAGCACAGATTCTGTCCACCACGACAGCTTGTCACGCCAGAGCCACGGGTAAATATGTGCTAAATTTGGAATTAGGATTAAAAGTTTATAATTACATTTCAAATCCAAAATTTTAACCAGAATATGTATTAGTCCCATAATCTGTTGTGAGAGGGGATGAAGGCGGTGTGAGCTATTTCTCAACCCTTTGCTCGCAAGAAAACGGAAGTGAAAAGAACAAAGTGTGAAATAAGATAATACCGTGCTAGATTTTCAGCAGTGAGAATACTAAAGTAAGAATTCCTGGCCACTCACTATCTTAGAAATTAACGCGCAATTTTCGAACCAAATTTTTTTTTTATCAACCTATGGGTGCTCTTTTTTGTTATTTGACCCTTCTTCGTGCGCGTGTCTCTCGGGTATCAACACGGCCCACGCCGTGCCAGAGGGGATGGCTGCTCGCTGCAGAGGGAATTTTGCACAACGACGCAGCCAACGCGGATGGGGGGTATCTGTGCTGGGTGCGTGGAGAGTCGGGGGGGGGGGGGAGGAAAAATGCATTTTGTTCGACCGTCGATCATTAGGAATTCTGCCGTGGTCTTTGGCTCGTGGCTGATGAGGAGCTCTGTGATGAGGTTTTTTGGAACACGGCGCATGTAGCGGCAAGATTCTGGAATGATAAGCGGGCTGCAAACTAAAATTAGGCCATAATTACAGCAATTGTGTACATAGCATTAATCTGCGGGGGCACTAATAAGTAGGAACGTGACAGATGGGTATTTCAAATGTCTTTACGAGCATAACCATAAATTGGAATATTATTTCTTTATGAATTATAAACACCACTCATTAATCCGAAAACTTGCTGATCGATAAATGCTTATGAGGGCGATCGAACTTGTAATTTCAGAAATTGCAACCACAACGTAATAATCAGGGGCGCGTTGATCCGTTACGAAAATTGGTTACAGCCGAAACGGGCAATGTGGCACCCGTTGTCACGTGTCGTCATCTCTCGACGGTCTCGCGATGACGACACGTGACAACGGGCGTCTTGTGTCAGCTCTCGACGGTCTCGCGATGATGACACGTGACGACGGGCGCCACGTGTCATCATCGCTCGACGGTCTCGCGATGATAACACGTGACGACGGGCGTCACGTGTCGTCATCGCTCGACGGTCTCGCGATGATAGCACGTGACGACGGGCTTCACGTGTCGTCATCTCTCTACGCTCGGCTGAAGCCAGCCGCTGGTGCCGTTGCGAGGGTTTGCTGCTCGTGCTGGAGACGATTTTCACAGCTCACCGTGTGGCTCGCTTCGGAGGCTGCCGGGGGGGGGGGGGGGGGGGGGGTGTCACGATACAGCGGTCTCTGTTCCCCCGATCGGGATCGCAGGCCACGTCGATGATGACCAATTGTGACGCAATAATTGCACGACGGGCGCAGGTGAAGCTTTATTTTTTTTAACGAATCATTCGCGCGTGTAGAATTACGTCAGGCCTAGTCAATCATGTTTACTTTTGAGTTTACAAAAATGCTTTTTCGTAATTGCGTAACTATCGAATGATTGAAATGATTTACGCCGCTCGCAGCACAAGTGGACCCCTCACGTGCATAATCGTCAATCGTGGAGCAATAATAATAATAGAGCGTGGGAATCGTGAAGGGGGTTATTTAAACGTGTTCGTAAGTCCGACACTAACACATGCTATGATTACTTGAACGAAGACGAACGCCTTGTAAATGTCACGCTGTGCGTGTGTGCGGGTCGACATGTTCACCGTGATTTTGCTGTGCCGAATGTCGCCCTCCCCCCCACCCCCTTGTGGCCTCCCGTGCCCAACGTGATGGGAGCGCAAGGCGCCTAGGTGTGTCTCATTCCACAGGCGAACCCGGCAACGCCTTGCTTGTGAAATGATCCTGCAGGAATGTTGTATCCCACGAATACAACACGCGTTGAGCGTCTATCTCCCCCCCCCCGAAACCCCCTCTGTTGTGTTCAGACGGAGAACAAATAATTACTTAGAAAATATATTTGAATGATTGTTTAAATAAATGATACGTGTACTGTCGTGATGGATGATATAATACGAATAAATACAAGACTTGTTATGTATCACTTGATGTTTTTTTTCTATATTTATCGATTCATGGCCGTGTGAGCAGTGACGACTTCTCCACTCCCCCCCCCTACATCAAAACTTTCAACTCGGCACACCAATCTCTCTCTCCTCTGTTGTGTCTTCTTCAGAACGGTCTGAAGCCGCCCGCTTTCTAACCTTGACCGGCGAAGCCAGCGTGGACGAACGACGCCCCGGGACTCCGTCCGCCATTGAGCACGCGGTCACGGGAGGGGCCCACTGGCCTAGGCGACGCACAGGCGTCAGTCAAACTAAGAGGGCGTTAGGCCTCGACAGTCGAAATCGGTTCCCACGGAATTAAATGAAGATAAAAAGAAACACACGGCCCCTCTGGGTGGGTGGGGGGTCCTTAGGATGAATAAAACGAAGAGATAAATAATCGATAAGAGAAAAAGACGTCGGCGGAAGTCCCCGCCCTAACCCTTTGTAAACGGGCGGCACGCTGACGTCGTCCATGAGACCCACCTGAGAAGCCAGGCCACGAGAGGCCAGGTACAGCCGGGCAGGAGACAAGTTGCCATCCTTACATGTTAAAAAAGGTCAATTTCACCCCCGAATCTGCAAAGCCTACACCCACAGGGCAAATACGTCCTCTCGGGCGGACTGCAGGCCAAGGAATTAACCTTAATACAGGGATACAATCCTCCGGTTTTGCCTTCCACGTTAAAAAAACAAAACATCCCTTTAAACTGATTTGGCTGCTGCTATTAATAATTGCCACATCACCCACATGTCATAAGCCACTTTGATGAGCTATCACGTGTGGCCAGTTCGCCTCTGAGAAAGGGTTATTAGCTCAGTGGGTTCTCCCTGATGAACAACAGATTAGTTTCAATGTAAAACAAAATTAGCACCACTTGTACCCTCGACTTGCCCCTTCCCCTGCCCCGCCTGGAGGCAGCTTCGGCCCAAGATACAACCACCAGGGGTGAAAACTTAAGACGGTGGCAGTGACTGCTGAGTCTGTAGACGGTGAAAATGCAATAGGCGCCACGGGCTGCATGCAAGAACCGTTTGGTGGCCAAACGCAGAGCGCGCGCAGCTCTCAAGAGTTCAATAACGCACGAATATCACACGCTCTCGAGGGAACTGTGTTTGGTTTAATGCTTTACAAAATAAAAACGACCATAATCGTATAACCAGGACAATCGTAACACCCACCCAGCCCACGTGGGCTGGTGACCCTGGTTCAAACAATGGATTGTATTGTTGATAATTGATCAATTACGCGATGACATCGTCAAATTTGCCGTAGTCCACACACGCACAGTGCAGACTCTATAGCACGTGGAGCTCTCTGACGTGATCAATATTTGGTGGTTGAGTGGGGAGCACCTGGGATAGCAAGTCACGGAGTCATAGGTTCAAATTAAACCATTAATTAGATTTTTTAATATATAAATTCAATCACAAACGCAAAGTAAAGTCTTTTTTTAATAAAAAAAGATGCAACAACTAATTTGAAAATGTCAATGATGTAATAACCGGAACATACACAGCATCCGTGAGCCTGCTTGGTGTCGTGAATATTGTGACTGACTCAAAAAGTCAAGGACCCGGGTTGAAATCCCATATGAGATTTTTGCTAATTTACAAATCGCGTGATGACGTCACGGCCTGTATTTACAAAGCCACGTGCGCGCAGTGCAACCACTACATCATGCGGAGCCCCCTGCATTTGCGTGAAGAGTCGGTGGCGCAAGGCGATGCGAGACAACCCTGGAGCCTGGAGAGTCCGGTAGATACGAGGTTCAAATCCTTTGTAAAAGTGGGTGGCGAATAGACACGACCCTGCACACCTCGAGAACCATGAGGCGAGCGAGGAAGATTGTGGCCGATTCCTCCCACCCTGGACACTCTCTGTTCCAGCTACTCCCCTCCGGCAGAAGGCTGCGGTCCATCAGGACCAAAACCTCACGCCACAAAAAACTGTTTCTTCCCAACCGCTGCTGGCCGCTTCAACAAGACCAAGGGCTTACACTGACTTTAACATTTTATCAACAAAATGACACCTTGCCATATTTACACTATGTTACCCCGTTTGTATTTTTAGATTGTATCTTATAGCTACTTTATATTCAATATTTATTCAAATTTTACAAACTTTAGCCCCTTAGTGTTAGACTTTGTACCTTTAGTATAGTTTAGACTTGTATACCGCTTATTTCAGATTTCAGATTCCTATGTGTTGAATGTATGCACCTTCCTGCCAAAGTCTTTGCGAACTTTCAAGTTAAACGTCCAATATGTGAACGTACTAACATGAGTGTGTGTGTGCGCAGGTGGAGCTGAGGACATGGAGCAGTCCACGGGCGTGGAGATCTGGACCAGCTGTGGAGGTGACCTGGAGCGGAGAGAGGACAGAGGAAGGAATAGGTTACTTAGAAGTATTGCTATTTTTTACGTGACTTATAACAGCTGTGACCACTAGAGGGCGCTGTGCCACCACTAGGGGCGCTATTAACAACTAGGGGGCGCTGTTCTATGGATATACCCATTAAAAGCGTCACTTTCTTGCAAATAAATGCATTTATACCGGATACTCGACGTATTGCAGCTTTAAGTCTCGAATTTTCACAAAATCGCGGAAAGTCTGCCGATCTCAAACAACGTAGCAACGCAAAACACAGTAAGGTACATCCAGTAGGGGGTGCGGTAATTGTTGAATTTTTTCATAAAATTGACGCTTTCACGACAAAACATTTTTTTACGACAAAATGCAACTAAACACACGACTTATCTACCATAAATATATACCGTGAAGTATTAACAAACGAGAAAGCCCTCATCCAGTTGTAGATTGACAAAAGACCTGCAGCTTTTATAACCAGCAACCAGTAAAGGGTTCCAACAGTGAATCATCACCAAAATCACCAAACCAAGTATATCCAGATGGGTAAATGTTACAAAAACCATTAAGGGTTACTTGTAATGGGGTCTTTCTCCAGCAAAATACGACTAAAAGCACTATTTACCAGCAAAACAAAACATGCAACACGTAACCCTCGATGTCACATCTCATTTTGGAAATCACAGTAAGTGAACACGAAGAGACCACTGGCTCTCCTACCTCTCCTATCTAACCTCACTCCGGTCTCCTTACCGTTATCTCCCTATCTCTCCCCTCTCACCTCACTACCCTCCCCCACCTCTCCCCTTCCACCTCACTCCACTCCCCTCACCGTGCTCTCCGCTCCAGCAACCCAAGGTTGCCCTCCAACCCCCAGTGAAGCTCCCCTCGATGGGAGTTCGCTGCTCCTCGTCGCCCACGCCCGCCCGCCTTGAGAGGCCCGGTGTCGCCTGGCTGTGGCAACAGCCCCTGCCTGTGGTCACCCGAGTCTCCCCCTGAGTCTCCCCTTGAGTCTCCCCTGAGTCTCCCCTTGAGTCTCCCCCTGAGTCTCCCCCTGAGTCTCCCCCTGAGTCTCCCCTGAGTCTCCCCTGAGTCTCCCCCTGAGTCTCCCCCTGAGTCTCCCCTGAGTCTCCCCCTGAGTCTCCCCCTGAGTCTCCCCTGAGTCTCCCCCTGAGTCTCCCCCTGAGTCTCCCCTGAGTCTCCCCATGAGTCTCCCCCTGAGTCTCCCCCTGAATCTCCCCCTGAGTCTCCCCCTGAGTCTCCCCCCGAGTCTCCCCCCGAGCCTCCCCCCGAGCCTCTTCACTGCTCTCGCCTGCTTCTAACTCAAAGGGATTCACTCGCTGCAGGCGCTGCGCGGATGGATGCGTCCCCCTGGGTCATCGGCACTGACAAATCCTGGCCGACTTTGACGATGGACGGGGACTGCGATGTGATATCACCAATGCATCATCCATTATATATATATTTATAGTTAAAGTAACACCCGTGACCAAACACCTGATGTCATCGAATATTAAAAGCTAAGCATGTTTGAGCCTGCAGAGTGCTTGGATGGGCGACCAGCAGGTGTTATAGGCTGCGTGGCTGTGATGGGCAGCACTGAGGAATGCATCTTCATCTGTCTCCCTGCGTGTTCACTAACCCGCACTGATCAACATTGGTGAAGTGTGGTGAAATCAACGCCCCTTGACCGACACGCAGGGGGAAGGTCCTCATCCAGCAGTGAATTGACATGGACGCTCTGGAGATGTTCGACGTTTCGTGGTATGTACCTATCATGGTTATGTACGTATTATTATTATTATGAAAGCTGTATTTCCGTGTGTTTAACATTACTGAGTTGAATGTGTATATATGGGCTGTAATATACGTAAACACAAACCCAGTATCGCCTACACTTGCTGTGCACCGAGTCTAACGAGATGCAGGAAGCCTGACTATTAATGAGCTACCCCTGGACACACCGAGCGCATCAATGGGGCTTTAAGACTTCAAGAGGTTACATAAAGTCTTCCTGAATCAACATCAAAACCTCGTGCCTAGCTCCACACCCACTCACATCCCGGCATGGAAGCGTCACTCAGCGCGGATCCAACTCAGACAGCCCCAGAGAGGCAGCAACTCACGCTTCAGACGGCTCCAGGTGCAGGGCCCCCAGGTGCAGGGTCTCCAGGTGCAGGGTCTCCAGGTGCAGGGTCTCTAGGCTACAGGTGCAGGGTCTCCAGGTGCAGGGTCTCCAGGTGCAGGGTCTCCAGGTGCAGGGTCTCTAGGCTACAGGTGCAGGGTCTCCAGCTGCAGGGTCTCCAGGTGCAGGGTCTCCAGGTGCAGGGTCTCCAGGTGCAGGGTCTCTAGGCTCCAGGTGCAGGGTCTCCAGCTGCAGGGTCTCCAGGTGCAGGGTCTCCAGGTGCAGGGTCTCCAGGTGCAGGGTCTCTAGGCTCCAGGTGCAGGGTCTCCAGCTGCAGGGTCTCTAGGCTCCAGGTGCAGGGTCTCTAGGCTCCAGGTGCAGGGTCTCCAGCTGCAGGGTCTCTAGGCTCCAGGTGCAGGGTCTCTTGGCTCCAGGTGCAGGGTCTCTGGGCTCCAGGTGCTGGGTCTCTGGGCTCCAGGTGCAGGGTCTCTAGACTTCAGGTG